CCTCCATCCCCCTCACTCTAAAAGTAAATAAATAAAACCTTAAAAAATATCAGTTATCTCCAAATTAATCTATTAATTCAGTACACTTCCAGTGAAAATCACAAAAGTGAGGTGTGTGTGTAATTAACAATTCTAAAACTTCTAAGGGAGAGCAAGATAAATTTGAAGATGAGCAAGTCTCACTCTCTCTATATATATTTGTGTGTATATACACACTCATATAGTAATTTAGACAGCGTGGTCTTGGCACAGGGATAGACAGAGGAATAAGACTGAGTCCATTAACAGTTCCATGCATGCATTGAAACTATATGGAGCCAAGATGACCCTAAAATTCAGTGGGGAAAGAATGTACTACTACTCAACAAGAGGTGTTTAGACAATATCAATATAAAATTTGATCCCAATTTCATACGTTATATGAGAAAGAAATCCCAGGGTATTAAAGACCTAAATGTGAAAAAACAAAATTTCAAGACTTTTAGAAAAATTGAACTACACCATAAACAAAGTGAAAAGTCAAGCCTAAGGCTAGTATAAAGTATTTGTAACATATAAAACCAATAAAGGATTATACAGAGAATGAAAAATCAATAGGGACAAGACAAATGACCAAGTAGAAAAACAGGCAAATAATATGAAGAGGCAAATCAAGAAGAAATCATGTGAAGTGTGACAAATGTGCAACTTTACACATACTCAGGGTAATGAGAATAATACAACTTTAAAAGTCTGATGAGGCCCTAGCCAGGTAGTAGAAACATCAATCAGCTGCCTCTCCCAAGACCTACCCCACCCCCTGCCTACTTTTCTTAAAGACTTTATGTATTTACTTTCAGAGAGAGGGGGAGGAAGGAAGAAAAAACATTGATCAAGTGCCTCTAGTGTGCTCCCTATCAGGGTCCTGGCCCAGAACCCAAGCATGTGCCCTGACTGAAAATCGAACCGGTGGCCCTCTGGTTCGCAGGCCAGCACTCACTTTACTGAACCTCACCAGCCAGGGCCTGCCTATTTTTTAGAAAATATTTTATTTATTTTTAGAGAGCGGGGAGAGAGAAAGACAGGGAGAGAAACATCAGTGTATGAGAGATACATGGATCTGTTGCTTCTTGCTCACCCGCAACCAGGTATACCTGACCCACAACCCAAGCATGTGCCCTGCCTGGGAATTGAACAGCCGACCCTTCCGTCAGCAGGCCAGCGCTCTATCCACTGAGCCACACCTGCTAGGGCTCATTCATCTTTCTAGCTCTCCAGGGGGCTCAGTGTAAGTACCTCCCCCTGCTTCCATTTTGGCCAATAGGGGAACCTCCCCTGTGCCTGGACTGTAGTAACAGGTGGACAGGCTAGACTTGACACAAGGGGCTGGTTGATTCTTTCTGTGACTATTTCCAGGGTTATAATGTATATTCTCTGTCCAGCCTGTCCACCCCACCCCCACAATTTTTCAATTACAATTGACATATTGAAACAAGTTCTTACTGGCTTATGAGAACAGACTACCTACCTCTATCAGCTCCATGTTTAATGTCAAACTGGTATTTTGAAATCTCCCACATTGGGAATATTTGCACCATTGAAATTAGCAAAGACAACAAATTAGGGCTTTCCTCCACAGAAAAGGTAGTTACACTTTTACCAGCACATTCCTGACTGAAACTCACATGCCTTACACTATCACTTTCTTTTGGGATTAACCAGATCCCCAAATGCCATTTGTACCATCTTCCTTCCTCCTTTATGACAAATAGACATTCGAACCCTAGCCCTAACCCTAACCCTTTGATTATTATTGAAGAAGATGATACTTCAGTCTTCATTGTTTTCCTTTGTTCTTCTTTCCTGTGTTGGGTGTCAGTGACGCCAAGATTAGAAATTTTGGAAAGGCATTGCTGGTGAAAGTGTGGGGAAAGGATGTAGGGATGTAAAACGGCACCTTTTTGAAAGGCAGTTGAGTATTACTTCGGACAATTTCTCTGTGCATCTCTTCCCTAACCTGTAAAATGTGGAAAATAATAGTATCAACCTGATAAAAGTTATTGTGAAGATTAACATATGTAAAGCATTCAGAACAGTGCATCTAGTAAGCACCATGTGTTCGACATAATTATTAGAGGGAGGGATTGGAAATTGACAATAAATTTAACAACCCTAAGAGTAGGCTGGGGATGGGGGTGATATGAGGATTTTACTTTTATGTTTTTTTTAAGACTATTTATTTATTTCTTTAGAGAGAAGGGAAGGGAGGGAGAAAGAGAGGGAGAGAAACATCAATATGCAGTAGCCTCTAGAAGGCCCCCTGCTGGGGACCTGGCCTGTAACCCAGGCATTGTGCCCTGACTGGGAGTTCAACCTTAAACTCTTTGGTTCACAGGCCCCTGCTCCATCCACTGAGCCACCGTAACCAGGGCTACTCTTTTATGTTTACATTTCTGAATTGTTTAAAATGAACAAATCAAACCAATTGAAAAATAATAAAGAAATTTAAGAAGTCTGGACAGGGCTCAGTCCTGTTGTTTTCCTCAGAAGCTCCTATTTATTAGGCTCCAATTGTCAAAGTGCAGGACAAAACTTTAAGAGTGGCCATTTATCTTTTTCTTAAAGTTAATCTTTCTTTTTATCCTTTAAAAACTTTTTCAAAGACTTTATTTACTTTTAGAGAGACCGGAAGGAAGGAAGGAGGAGGAAGAGAAACATCGACGAGAGAGCACCCAGCTGGGGACCTGGGCCGCAACCCAGGCCTGTGCCCTGACCGGGATTCGATTCAGCGCCCTTATCGTTCACATGCTGGTGCTCAACCACTGAACCACACCAGCCAGGACCCATTTATCTTTTCATACAGATCAAACGCAAACCTTTTTAAGATAGCAAGCTAACTCTCAACAGGGCGCCATGACAAAGGAGTGGAGTTGGCTCCAAGCCTTTCCCTTTCAGCCTCCAGGATGGTAGTGACACACTGACCAAAAATTCATTTGGAGACCTTTTAAAAATGGCAGCGCCCCGGTTGCCCCACGGCAGACCGACCGTGAGAGACGGACCTTCCCAACATGGCGGCGAAGGCCTAGGCGTCACATCCTGCAGGATGACGGATATAAAGGGCAGGATTTCCGCTTGCGCTCCTTTCCGGCGGTGACGACCTCCCCACGACAACATGCCTGTGAGTTCCTTGATGCAGGTTTTGGCGGAGATCTCGCTCTTCGGTCCGCACGCTCCTCTCACGCTGATTTCGAGTCGTAGAGGGCCCTCATTTGCCCTCCGCATTCCTAGGACATTAACTACAGGGACTGCGGAGGTCCGCGAGGCCCCTGCATAGACGGGAGCGGAGAGGAGATAAGATGGCGGCCCAGCTGCGCAGACACCAGGGGCGGCGAGGGGCGAGCTCTCCCCGGTGTGTGGCAGTGGGGGATGTTTTCGATCGTCCCTTTTCGCCGTTGGCTTATAAATCTCTACATGTGTGCCTCTCGTAGCTCGCAAAGGACCTCCTTCATCCCTCTCCAGAAGAGGAGAAGAGGAAACACAAGAAGAAGCGCCTGGTGCAGAGTCCCAATTCCTATTTCATGGATGTGAAATGCCCAGGTGAGAAGAGAACTTGCAGTAGCCGAGAAAGCACAGGGTTTAGGAATTGCAGAAAGGTGTAGTGTGAGCTGTACCGTATCCATGAAGCAGCTGCAATGTCTTAAGATTCGAATGTACGAGATGGGTAAAATTCTGTACTTTAGAAGTGGTCCAGAGTGATTTCCCATCAAAACCCCATGTACAAACCCTCACGTTGCGTTGTGTTAAGAAGCTGGGATAATGTGTTGTGCTTCTGTCTTGGTCACCAAGGATTTGTATCCGGAGGCAGAGGGTTGATGTGTTCTGTGCTCGCCATCCTTCTTTCCCATGTGGAGGACCCCTGAGTAATTGGTGGTTCCACTCCTTTCCCTTTCAGCCTCCAGGATGGTAGTGACATATTAACCAAAAATTCCTAAGTGGAGGCAGGTTGCCTAGATTACTTCTGGGTTGGCTTTAATGTATACCTAGAACCAGGTAGTCAAGTTTCAAATAGGATAGTAAATTTTAAAAGTTTTCATAGCATGTATATAACAGTTAATACATAATAGCATATGCATAAGTGAAGAAAGGCATGGAAGAAATATAACCCCTACTTGATTTTTTTCTTCCAGGTTGCTATAAAATCACCACCGTCTTTAGCCATGCACAAACGGTAGTTTTGTGTGTTGGCTGCTCCACTGTCCTCTGTCAGCCTACAGGAGGAAAAGCAAGGCTTACAGAAGGTAAATTGTTTAACAAGTAGAATCTGGGCTTTGAATCTTATGGTGATAGAAGAATCATATGTAGTGTAAATTATCAGACTCTTGGAAAGAGGGTTGGATTTGATAGCCTTTCCCCCCAAAATATTAGCAGAAATGACTTTTTTTTTTTTTTTAAGAGAAAGACAATCATCAGTTTCTTGTTCCACTTATTTATGGGTTCACTGGTTGATTGTTATGTGTCCTGACTGGGGAGTGAACTTGCAACCTTAGTGTGTGGGGACACTTGAGCCACCATTGAGCTACTTGGCCAGGGCCAACAACATATTTCTTAATTTCAAAACACTACTGTCCAAAGTTGTGATGAGTGGATGATAAAAGCGGCTTTATTATGAGCTGTAGCCAAAAAGGTCCTTAAGTGGCTGGGTGTTAGGTAAAGGAATTAAGGAAAAGGTGTAGCATTCTTGTGGGTGGATCACAAGGCATCAGTTCTGTGAGTGTGGGGCAAGGAAAGTAGGCTGCTGTCAGCTAACTTTTGAACCATTTTCTTCTAGGATGCTCCTTCAGAAGGAAGCAGCACTAAAAGTACCACGAATCAAGATGAGTGGGGAACCATCCCAATAAACACATTTTGGATACATCCTGTTTATTGTCTTGTAGTTTACTGCTAGGAAGTTAAATATTCCCTCAAATATTCAGGGACAACCAGAAGAATGGACTGCTAGTCATTGAGGGCAAGTAAGTAGCCAAGTACTTAAATAGTTCATTTGGGACATTTCTGTCCACCTGGGCACATTAAGGAAATCTTCAGAGCTTGATGAAAAAATGTGGTATACCATATAAATGAGATATTTACTTTCACTTTTATGTTTTCTTATAACTAAGAACAGGAACTGACAGTTAATCTTTGAAACACAATCCAACACACTACTTTAATACAAAACAGCTCGGGATCCTTTATTTACAGTTGTCCGAAACCTTGTTCTGAGGCTTGGGAATATAGAGGTTGTTGCTAGGCGGTTCTGGCGGATAAGGGCGAGAAACCTCCAGTGTCCTCCAGTTAAGGAGACTTGTCCAAGTGGAGGTTAGTGCCTTATGCTCCACAGCCAGTATTGCAGCCGACTCTGAGCTGGTGGGGGCTGTGGACTCATGAAGCGGGGAGAACGAGTGGCGGTATAAGAACCTAGGAATAAGCGGAGAAGGGAAATAGGTGAAAGATGAATAAAACCTGGATATCGGATTTGAAGGAGATAAGGAAGGTGATTCTTTACCTGACTCGGGTATTCCTCGAGTTGGTACATAAACAACTGGAATTGTCTGTATCTTATTTAGGAAGGCATTGTATGCTGGAATAAGAACAAAGATGTCAGTAAAGAAGCCAATTTGTCTTCATTACAGGAAGGCCTTAGTAATATTTCAGATTAAATAACTTGATAGTAATTTGGAAATTTGTATTCAGTTATTTTTAGAGATACTTTCCTCTTCTGGCCAAAAGATGTGGGGGGAAGTGCAGGTGTAGATAAAACTGTGTGTTGTGTTGCTCACATCTTTAGCTATGAATTTGAGCAAAAGTAGCCATTATCTTAAGGGTTAGCAGTGATTTACACTTGTGAATGGTATTTGTTTGCCACATCCAATGTATGGTAGTTATAACTTGAGTGGGGCCTTTGCTAGGTGACGGGTTAGAGAGGCTAAATCAGTTTCAACTGCTTGTCCCAAATTAGATGTAATGAACAACTAATTCTCATCCTTATTTAGTTTGTGAAATACAAAGGCATTTTCCAAGTCAAAAGTCCATTACCTAGAAAGATGAAAGCTGTTGATGCCAACACTGCAAAGAGAGTCAAGAGGATCTGGTAAGAACCCACGAACTTCTGGAGGACACCTGAATCTTCACATTGATCTGTGCATTGGCCAGAGCAAGAGAAGATGGTTGTTTAATAACACAAGGCAGATACTGCATTTAAAACCTTGTCACCATTAACGTATCTAGCAGAAGCACTCAATACCCAGCCCTCTAGAACAGTGATTTTCAACTGGTTGCAAGAACTTTGAAAATATGCAATATCTGACTGCTTAGACAGGACCACTGACCTTTTTTCCCTTAGACAAGTCTGTCATTTTTTTAAAAATGGCAACAGCACAATAGCTGTCTGATGTGAATGAATCAAAATTACACCTTTTTGTCATGAAGAAAAAAGGTCCAGCACAAATAATGCTCCTTTTCTATTACAAAATCATAAGCATGTAATTCTAACAATATCACACTCCAGCACACCATATGACATTTTAGGTGAAATGTTCAACTTAAGGTGTTACATCCACATTATTACCCTACCAACCACAGTCAAACAGGTGTTACATGCCAGACCCTGTGTACTTTTTTGGTGTGCCACAGTTATTAATAATCATGTGTACCATGAGATGAAAAAGGTTGAAAATTGCTGCTCTGGGAAATTGTTTAGCTTCTTACCAGAGTAAAGAGGTAAACTATATACCTGGCTGCAACTTTCTGGCTTTTTCCTATTCCCAAAGTAATAAGCTCCAGTTTTTGAGCCTCTTAGTTCTCTGCTTTCAAGAGTATTTAAAACCCCTGCCATCTGAAAATGGCTGTTAAATTTCCTATGCATTGAGCTCTGAGTGACATCCCTTCATCACATTAGTGGCAATCTGTGGTAACGATTTCTAATTCTAATCCCTGTAATGAACATTTTTTTGGATCCCTGATGATCTCATAAATCCAAGGGCTCCTTACCTTTTTTTACTCAAGATGTTTCTAGGGAACATTTTGATCTGTGTAAAACCTTGACCATAATAAAACTTGAGATTCCTTTCTGAACTTTATTTGGTTATTTGCCTTCGGTTATTTCAATTTTTTGGTGTCTGGAACTCCTTTCTGCCATTAAACTCCCTGAACTTCCAGTTCTTCCACTATAAATTGTGACCAGGCCCTCACACCTAGTTTATTTGCATCTCAACTACAGGCCCTCTGTGGTCTCCTACTTGGTTTTAAACCTCTCACTTTATTCTTTGACAACTGCCTCACAGCTTCACACAGTTGACAAACTGCTTCACTCTGAATAAGGTTGCTTGAAGTGCATATACTAAAAAGATACTAATCCCTGATCAGGTCCCACTGTTGAAAGTCCAAATAAAACGGGGTGTTGTATTTTGTAGCGTCCCACTGTTACACTGAACCAATTACTGTTTCCCCGACTGGGCCTTCCCATGATTCTGCAGTAGGAACCATGTCTGGAATATACTAGTAGGCTCTCACATGCTTGTGTCAATGAGCTGAAGGTTGGATTAAATATTTGTAACTAACCACTCCTACCCACCATGGTTGTACTGTTTCCACTAATCCCTCATCTCCAAGAAGTGCAGATTCTTAACAAATTTTTTTTTTTTTTGCCATGGGTAACTGGCTGGTGAAATCTATACATCTCATAATATTTTTAAGTGCAAAATATATTATGCATAGAAATAAAGGAAACCAATTATATCAAAAGTTAATCAAAATAGAAAAAAACCTAATTTGTGACAATTACACAGCAAAATGTTAAAAGCCCTAATTTGTGATACAGTAATATATGTGCTTTAGTAACAACAAAAGTCTAACTTAAGGTCTGATAACTGCAATTTTGAAAAATATTTTGAGATGTGACAGTTGGAACATGAAAATATCTGGATTCCATTGGTGACAGATTCACACTGTTGATACTGCTGTGGTTTGTTGCCTGTATCCATAATGAGTTTATTAGAATCAACTTCACTTAAAAACTACTCTAATACAGCACACATTGAACCTTCTAGTGGGGGGCCTTGAACACCTTGATTCTTCAACTCTAAAAGGGCAAAATACATCTGCCCTTTTGAGTTACAAGTATTAAAATGCATATAAACATGCTTAGGATATTTATTGAGCAGTACATATCAAGTGCTCATATAAACAATGTACTAGGGTTCAGCCTAATTCACTCCTAGTAAGTACTGTTTCCTTGGAGGGATGGACTAGTGGAAGTGATAAATATGAGGAGGATGGTTCTGTGGACTTAAAATTTTTTTTTTCTATTTATTGATTTTTAGAGGGAGAGGGAGGTTCCACTTCATTGTATACACTAGTAGGCTCTTACTGCATTCATTGGTTGCTTTTTAAAAAAAATACTTTCAGAGAGAGAAGTGAGAGAGATAGAGGGAGAGAAACATCAATTTGGTTGCCTCTTGTTTGCCCCCAACTGGGGACCTGGCCCGCAACCCAGGCATGTGCTCTGACAGGGAATCAAACCAGCAACCTTTCAGTTTGCAGGTGGGCACTCAATCTACTGGGCCACACCAGCCAGGACTATTCTTAAATATATGTTAAGTATCACATGTAATTAGTGTTAAAAAAGTTATCTGAAGATTGTGTTTTGAGTAGGCTTAGAAAATCGATCCATGCCTCAGCTACTTTTGAATAGTTTTGATCAAGTGGCTGAATGTCTTCCATTAACTAATTGTAATGCATTGTCTTGTTTCTTCTCTAGATTGAAAATAGGAAACTCCCAATGCTCACCTGCACCAGACTTCTCCTTAATAGCTTTCACTAGGATAGCCTCACTTTGACTGGTGAGCACACAGGAAATATTGATGAAAACAGGTGATGTCATCTGCTGTAGGGAAGTGAAGTTGACCACTCTCACAGGGTAGATAGCGAGGCCAGGTGTGAGAGAAGAGTAACTATGGCCAGGGACCACCAGAACTGGGGAGCTGGGGAAGACCTTGGAGAAAAGATAAAGTAGCATTTGCCTGAAAGAAAAGGCAGTTTGTATCCGACATTCCAATCTTAAACACACAGTAACACATCTGGATTTCTAGTTCTAGCTAGTTGACAAGTCATTTAGTTTTTCACACTTAGATGTGTTGAAAAAGTGATCTGTGAGAATAAAATGGGCTTCAAAAAAGTTTTAAACTAGAATTCTAACGATTGTTTTAAGATAGCATTGGTGTTATCTTCAGCTAATAACCTAGATTTTGGACTCTGGGAGTCCCCCTGACTTTGTGAAGGGGACACCTTTTCTTCATCCTGTTTAAGAATCTCTTATGGTGAATTTTATCAGATTATTCAGAAATTTTCTTTACCTTGTCTTAGACTGGGAATCAAAAATATCTGTTTCAAAACTGTTGTTTTGGTTCAGTTCTCAACATACCTCTAGCTTCTCAAGAACTCTGTCCACTCCCAGTATTCTTATCTCTCCGCTGTCTCGTTTGTGGCTAAGAATCAGTTCTGACTGGTTGATGTAAAAGGCTGGGATGAAAGGAATGAGGATTCTTTGCATTCCATTCTTGCTCTGTTCGCCCACCAGTGTGGCCCACGCATAGACTGAGGTGTCAGCCATGCTGAGGGCCTGGAGCAGCTCCTCTGACTGGGGTCGAACCTTGATTAGGCAGACATAAACCCCTGAAGAAAAGAGGAAAAACTGAGCAGGAATGTTCAGGGGCTTTATTGAGCCAACTGAGTTAGGACAGGAAGTAAAAATGGTGACCTACACATTCAAAAGAAAATGTGAATCTAGATTTGGTGTTCGGTATTAGCACGCTAATGGGCCACCAAAACAAAACAGTCCCAGGGAACCTACAACTGAACTTGTTGTTTAAGAATGCCACTATTGGTAAATGGACATGTCAGGGAGTATTACATAATACAGTGCACACAAATGATGGGGATACAGAATGAAGTAGTCAGTTGGTAAGATCAGAAAGGGTTTGTGGAAGAAAGGCAAGCTACGAGCATAGCTGAATCACTTCTCTATCAAACCACCACTTGATGGCCTATTTCTCTCCATAGTGCTCAAACATCAGGTGTCTTTTGACATCTTTCACATCACTCTTAAAAATGGTCATTCTCCAAATCTTGCTAACTCATCCTTTGAAATTCCTCTGACATCTGTCTGCCCTGTTAGTATTTCTGTTACCCTAGACACTTGTCCCTTCATGCTTGGAGTATTGCAACGGCACCATTTACTACTCTCCTTGCTTCCCATTATTCATTCATTCTTGTCCATTCTATGTCCTTCCAGTAGATACTTTAAAACTGCTTTAATCTTATTTTTGTAAACTTCTGTGGGTCTGTATATTGTCTGAAATGTCGTTTATTCTTCACATCTAGCTCACTCGTAGTCATCTTCTAAAACGTTATTTACTCTGTGAAACCTTACTTTAACACCCATGTTGGAGGTAGACACACCGCCTTTCTGGGGTCCCACAAGTATCTTCATGACTAATTACCCTCTGCAGTACCAGTAAGAGTTAAAATTTAAAAGCCTTGTGTCATTCCTCTTTGTACCCCCGGTGCCTGTCCTGGTACCAAGCATTGTATTCAGTGCTCAGCGGTTTGCTTCAGTGCTTAATCATTACCCATACTGTTCACACCGCCTGGCCTTGGAGTAGAAACTCCCATGATGTAGCACTATCCTATTTACATTCGACATGAATCTTCCATTTTAGATCGTTGATTTATATAATGTCATCCCAGTGTCATGCCTGTTTCTACTTTCTGCTTGTTAATGCTATTCTGCTTGGAATAGCTTTCAGTTCAACAAACACTGCTACTTGCTGGGGCTGTAAGATGAATGAGACGTAAGGCAAGCCCTCACAGAGACAACAGGGTCTAACAAAGAAAATAGAAAATTATAATAGAAAAGCATTTTCTATTGTGTTGTAAACAATAAAAAGATGTTATAGAGGCATGTTTAACAAGTTTGAATGGATTGAACAAAAGTGTTGATTGAGAAAGGGTCCACAATTACAGAGCACAAATATCAAAACAAGAGGGAAACCACATTCAGCTGGTGGGACCCACCTTTCTCCATGCTGAAATCAGAATAGACGTGAAAGACTTTACTTGCTGGGATGTCCAGCAAACTGTTACTGAACTGTACATGGCACAGTATGAGGGTCTCTGGAAGAAGTACTGTTGTAATGGCCACAGCCTGACTTGGGTTGCAGGATCCTAATAGCAGAAAAGAGGTAAATAGTTTTATCACTAACAAGAATTTGTAAAAGGAGAGGCCATTATATGGAAGAAGTTTGGTATCCCTGCCCGCCAAAACAGGGAGTCACTTGCTATTGCTACAGCTGTCTGCTTGCCAGCTTTGCTGAATTTTGCTACAATTAAGATGAAAGAGTAGTAGTGGAAGACCCTTGCCTCTGCTAGCTTGTTAACAATGATAGTGGGCTTCCATTATCAATATGAGAGACGGTGTCCCTTTCACAGGTTTTTGGAATTTATCAGTGGGAGAAAGAGATTACAGAGAGGTTGGACAGCTATTAGAAATACAGCACTGCATCTGGGAAGTAGCTTTTTTAAGTCTATAGGTTTGTTTTCCAAAACCATGTAAATATGACTCAAGTCGAAGATCTCTAAAAGTGATCTCCAAGTGAATGAAGTTGAAGATTCATTACAAGTGATGCCTTTTAAACAGGAGCCACATAGCCAGCAAGAAATAGACGGGAAGCATTTGAGATATTGCTCCCTTGCATATGTCCTCAGTTTGGTTCAAATTAACTCCTATAAAAATTCTCAAAAGAAAGGAAAGAAATAGACTGGTGCCATGACTGAGTCAGTTTCAATGGATGGCATTCTAGCTAAACAGGAACTGGTGTCCTGTTAAGATTTATCCCCTGCACAGTTTCTTTTTCTGACTTTATTTATTTTCAGAGAGAGGGGAAGGAGGGGAGAAAGAAGGAAACATCATTGGTTGCCTCTTGCACGCCCCCAACTGGGGACCTAGCCTGCAATCCAGGCATGTGCCCTGACCAGGAATTGAACTGGCAACCCTTCTGTTCACAGGCCACCACTCATTCCACTGAACCACACCAGCCAGGGCAGATTTAAAAAAAATTTTATTGCTCTATTTTTAGAGAGAGAGGAAGGGTAGGAGAAAGAGAGGGAGAGAAACATCAGTGTGCAAGAGAAACATCAGTTGCTTCTTGTATGCCCCGAACCAGGGAGCTGGCCCACAACACAAGGCCTGACTGAGAATTGAACCAGCGACCTTTGACTTTGCAAGCAATGCCCAACCTGTGCCAGTCAGGGCTTCTTTTTTTTTTTTTAATGCTTTTTCTGAGTCTATTTTTTTCTATTTTTAAATTTTTATTTATTTTAATTAAACTTATTGGAGAGACACTGATTAATAAGATCATATAGATTTCAAGTTCACTTTCCTATGATACATGATCTGTATATTGCATTGTGTGCCCACCACCCAAAGTCAAATCATATGACTTGACTTATGTCACCATATATTTGGCCCCCTTTAGCCTTTACTACCCTCCCCACCCCCTCCCCTCTGGCAACCACCACATTGCTGTCTATGTCCATGAGTTTCAGTTTTATTTTCCACATATGACTAAAATCATATAGTTCTTAGTTTTCTGACTGACTTAGCATAATATTCTCCAGGTCCATCCATGTTGTCACAAATGGCAGTATTTCATCTTTTCTTATGGCTGAGTAGTATTCCATAGTATACTATATATGTATCAATAGTGTATATGTATCACATCTACTTTATACAGTCTATGGAAGGATGCTTTGGTTGTCTCCATGTTTTGGTCACCATTGAGTAATGCTGCAACAAACATAGGGGTGCATATATCTTTGTGAATAAATGTTTTCAAGTTTTTAAGATAGATAGCCAGAAGAGGGATTGCTGGGTCATATGGTTTATTCATAATTTTTTTGAGGAACCACCATACTGTTTCCATAGTGGCTGTACCAGTTTACATTCCCACCATCAGTGAATAAGGGTTCCTTTTTCTCTACAACCTCTCCAATACTTGTTGAGGTGCTATCTCATAGTTTTAAAAAATACATATTTTATTGATTATGCTATTAAAGTTGTTCCATTTTTCCCTTCCCCCGCCCCACCTGGTATACCCCATTCCTCTGGCAATCCCCCCACTTAGTTCATGTCCATGGGTCATGCATAAAAGTTCTTTGGCTACTCCATTTCCTATACTGTTCTTTTTTTTTTAATCGTTAAAGCACAGTTGTCTCCATTTCCCACCTACCACTCTCCTCTGCCCCACCCTCAATCCTACCCACCTTGGCTTTGTCCATGAGTTCTTTATACATGATCTTTGACGGACCCTTCCCTTTCTCTCCCCTGTTTTCCCTCTTCCCGCTCCCCTCTAGTAACTGTCAGTTTGTTCTTTATTTCAATGTCTTCACTTATATTTTGCTTCCCTGTTTTGTTGATTAGGGTCCATTTATAGGTGAGATTATATGGTATTTTTCTTTCACTGCCTGGCTTATTTCACTTAGCATAATGCTTTCCAGTTCCATCCATGCTGTTGCAAAGGGTAGGAGCTCCTTCTTTCTTTCCTGCTGCATAGAATTCCATTGTGTAAATGTACCATAGTTTTTCTATCCATTCATTTACTGATGGGCACCTAGGTTGCTTCCAGCACTTGGCTATTGTAAATTGTGCTGCTATGAACATTGGGGTACATAGGTTATTTTGAATTGGTGTTTCAGGATTCTTAAGGTATAATCCCAGCAGTGGAATTGCTGGGTTCCATACAATTTTCCACAGTGGCTGCACCAGTCTGCATTCCCACCAACAGTACACTAGGGTTCCCTTTTCTTCACAACCTCTCCAACACTTGTTGTTTGTTGATTTTTTTTTATGATGGCCATTCTGACCGGTGTGAAGTGGTATTTCACTGTGGTTTTAATTCACATATTTCTGATGGGTAGTGATACTGAGCATCCTTTCTTATGCCTCTAAGTGCTGAGTGTGTCCTCCTTGGAGAAATGTCTGTTCAGGTCCTTTGCCCATTTTAAAAATTGGATTGTTTGTCTTCCTAGAGTGGAGTCATGTGAATTCTTTATATATTTTGGAAACCAAACCCTTGTCCAAGGTGTCATTGGCAAATATATTTTCCCATACAGTTAGTTCCCTTTTCATTTTGCTGATGTTTTCTTTAGCCATGCAGAAGCTTTTATTTTGATGAGATCCCATTTGTTTATTCTTTCCTTTATGTCCCTTGCTCTAGGAGACATATTGGTGAAAATATTGCTGTGTGGAATACCTGAGATTTTCCTGCCTATGTTCTCCTCTAGGACTTTTATGGTGTCACAACTAAGTCGTTTATCCCTCGAGTTTATTTTTGTGTATGGTGTAAATTGGTGGTCAAGGTTCATTTTTTTGTATGTAGCTGTCCAGATCTCTCAACACCATTTGTTGAAGAGGCTATTTTTACTCCATTTTATGCTTCTGCCCCCTTTGTCAAATATTAATTGACCATAGAGACTTGGGTTTATTTCTGGGCTCTCTATTCTGTTCCATTGGTCTATGTGTCTGTTCTTATGCCAGTACCATACTGTTTTGATTACAGTGGCCTTTAATATAGTTTCACATTAGGTATTGTTATCCCTCCTACTTTGTTCTTATTTCTCAAAATTGCTGCAGCTATTCAGCAATTTTGTTTGGTTCCATATAAATTTGGTTGTTTATGGTTCCATATAAATTTGTAGAATGTTTATTCTATATCTATGAAATATGTCATTGGTATTTTAATAGGGATTGTGTTGAATCTATAAATTGCTTTGGGTAGTATGGACATTTTGATATACTCATTCTTCTAATCCATGAACACAGTAATCCATGAACACAGTATATGCTTCCATTTATTTGTGTCTTCCTTAATTTCTTTCTTCATTGTTGTGTAGTTTTCTGAGTACACATCTTTTACCTCCTTGGTTAGATTTATTCCTAGGTACTTTATTTTTGTTGTTGCTATAGCAAATGGGTTTTTTTTTTCCTGATTGCTATTTCTGATCTTTTGTTGTTGGTGTACAAAAATGCCTTAGATTTCTGAATATTGACTTTGTATCCCACTGCTTTGCCAAATTCACTTACTAGGTCCAACAGTTTTTTGGTAGAGTGTCTAGGATTTTCTATATACACTATCATGTCATCTGCAAACAATGACAATTTTGCTTCCTGCTATCCAATTTGGATGCCTCTTATTTCTTTTTCTTGTCTGATTGCTGTGGCTAGGACTTCCAATACTATGTTGAATAGAAGTGGTAAAACTGTACATCCTTGTCTTGTTCCTCATCTTAGTGGGAAAGCTTTTAGTTTTTGCTCATTGAGTATGATGTTGGCTGTAAGTTTTTCATATATGGCCTTTATTATGTTGAGGTATGCTCCCTCTACTCCCACTCCAAAGACATTTGACAAGGGTGCTATACCTTGTCAAATGTCTTTTCCACATCTATTGATATGATCATGTGATTTTTGTCTTTCCTGTTGTTTATGTGATGTGTTATGTTTATTGATTTGTGTATATTGTACCATTCTTGCATCCCTGGGATGACTCCCACTTGATCATTTTTTATATGATCTTTTTTAATGTATTGCTGGATGCTGTTTGCCAATATTGTGTTGAGAATTTTAGTATCTGTGTTCATCAGCAATATTGGCTTGTAGTTTTCTTTCTTTGTTGTGTCTTCATCTGGTTTTGGGATTCGGATGATGCTGGCCTCATGAAAAGAGTTTGGGAGTCTTCCCTCTTCTTGGTTTTTTTGGAATAGTCTGAGAAGGATAGGAGTTAGCTCTTCCTTAAATGTTTTGTAAAATTCTCCTGTGAAACTGTCTGGTCCAGGGCTTTTGTGTGCTGGGAATTTTTTGATTACTGCTTCAATTTCACCAGCTGTTATTGGTCTGTTCAGGCTTTTTGCTGCTTCTTCATTCAGTTTTGGGAGATTTTATTTTCCTGGACATTTGTCCATTTCATTCACATTTTCAAGTTTCTTAGCATATAGTTGTTTGTAGTAATTTCTTAAATTCTTTGTATTTCTGTGGTATCAGTTATAATCTCTCCTCTTTCATTTCTGATGTTACTTATTTGGGTCCTCTCTCTTTTTCTCTTTTATTTTCTTTTTAAAGATTTTATTTATTTATTTTTGGACAGGGGAAGGGAGAGAGAAAGAGATGGAGAGAAACATCATGTGTGGTTGCCTCTTTTGCACCTGCTACTGGGGACCTGGCCCACAACCAAGGCATGTGCCCTGACTGGGAACTGAACTGGTGACCCTTTGGTTCACAGCCTGCACTCAATCCACTGAGCCATACCAGCCAGGGCTAAATTATCCTAAGTTTTTTAAATTTAATTTTTCAATTATGGTTGACATATAAAATTTCCTAAGTTTTATAGATAGTAATTCAGTAATTATATTCTGGACTTCTCTGCTTGGTTTTGAATGTTCTCTTGGCCAAAAAAGAAAAGATCTGGAATTTGTTCCTTCTAAAAAATTTTTTTTAAAAATCTTTATCTGAGGATATGCATATTGATTTTGAGAGAGAGAGAAAAAGGGGTAGAGAGAGAGAAACAATGTGAGAAACATCATTTGGTTGCCTCATGTATGCGCCCTGACTGGGGATCAGATCCAAAACCTAGTATGTGCTCTGGCTGACAGTTGAACTCACAACCTTTTGGCCTATGGGACAGCGCTCCAACCAACAGAGACAACTGGTGGCAGGGTATGGGGTTTGTTTTTTCTTTAGGGGAAAACAAGGAATGAAACCATGTACATACATTTTGGAGTGGGACATTCTACCACTTTGGCCACTGATTGATATGTTGTTTAAGTTACTTGCTCTTAGACTCAGTGTTCTCATCTTTAAAATAATGATAATTAATACATGGTAAGATTGTTAAATTAGATAAAATATATAAAAATTCCTAACATAGCTGGAATTGATTAGGAGCTTCTAGTATTTTAGTTTTCTTTACTCCACCTTTTTTTGACTATACATCATAGTGCAATACAAAACCAAAAAAAAAGAAAAAGGCATACTAGGCAAATTTGCTGAGCAAATAACATTTCAGATGTCACCTAGTCCAACAATTCTTAAGTCTTGGGAAGCTTTAAAAGAATTGTATCTTAGGCCCTATCCCAAATTTATTGTATTTCTGGATGGAGCCCAAGGTTCTGTTGTATTTTTTTTTTTTGTTTTTCTTTTTACCTCACCCGAGGACATTTCATTGCTTCTAGAGAGAGAGGAAAGGAAAGAGAGAAACATTGATGTGAAAGAGAAACATTGATTGGTTGCCTTCCATATGTACCCAGACTAGGAATGGAACCCCAATGTAGGTATGTGCCCTGTCCTGGGAATCAAACCCTCAATCTTTCAGTTACAGGATGATGCTCCAACCAACTGATCCAAACTGGCCAGGGCAAGAATCTGTATTTTCAAGAGATTATTTTCTTAAAAAAAGAATTTCCTTGATCAGCCATGTTTCGTCCTGGCTGGTGTGGCTCAATGGATTGAATACTGGCCTGTGAACTGAAAAGGTTGCCAGTTCAAGTTTGATTCCCAGTCAGGGCACATGTTTGGGTTGAGGGCCAGGTCCCCAGTTGGGGGTGTGAGAAAGGAAACTGATCAATGTATCTCTCCCACATCAATATTTCTCTCCCTCACTTTCTCCTTCCCTTCCCCTCTCTCAAAAAAATCAATAAATACAATCTTAAAAAAAAGAAAAAAGAAAATCAGCCACGTTTGGAAATCCCTGATCTAGACTACCTCCTGTTCTAAGGCAGGGTTATATACCTAGAAAGACAATAGGGATTAGTTCGAACCTGTTTCAAATCCTTAACCCAGTCATAATTTTTGAGCTGTCATACCTCCCAAATGATTTATTTGTTAAAGTGGAGTCAACTTTGAAATAAAAGGAAATTTGTATTGCTAGTGCAAAGGGGTAAATGAATTGGGAACAATCACTCACACCTATGAAGAGATTCCCAACCTTTAAGATTGACACCATTTCTGCCGGTGATGATGAAGAACTTGAACACAGTTGAATTGCGGGTGTTGGTGAGGTAACTCTTGAGGTCATAACTGTGTGTTAATCTTGATGATGCATTGACAACCACCTGTCAGGAAACCAAAGGAAAGTCTATACCTAAGCTCTTACAGAATCTGGTTCCCTTCTTCTCCACCCCTCAAAACTTATTTAACCAAAAGTGTCCGTTTCACATGAATTGCCCTTCTAGTGATCACGTTTGAGAACCTCAAAATCTTATGGGAAAATAACATTTTTTTTCCAAAAAGGAGGTCTTGTTCATTATTCCTTCTGACATATGTTCTCTTTGTATAACTCCCTATTAAAATGCCTTTGAAGACAATTACAACTTCAGAAAGTTTTCTCTCTCATTACATATAATCTCAACCTTTTCTGAAACTTCAACTTCAGGATGCTTTGGTTTCTCTCAATATACTTGTAGTGTTCTGCTTTATATTGTAGGTATTTTTATACTTGTTATAATTCCTCCTATTAGGCTCTAAGTTCTTTAACTTAGAATCCTAATTTATCCCTTTGTATCCTGTACTGTGCCTTGTATATAAGGCTAGTGCTTAATCATTAGAAAGAGAGGTGATGATGAGCCTTTCCCCCTGAGATATCATCAATTTAAATGCAATATACACCTGGCCAGGTAGCTCAGTTGGTTGGAGTGTCACCTGATGTGCCAAAGTTACAGTTTGATTCCCAGTCAGGGCACATACCAAATCAACCAATGAATACATATACCCTTCTACCTTACTCCCTCCCCTCTATAAAATCAATAAATAATTTTTTTAAAAATAAATAAATGCAGTATATTGTCCAGTCTTCTTGGTACTACCACATTTAAAAAAAAATTCAAGAGCCTTAAAACCAAGTTAGTTACATTAAGAGCTCAGTAAGGGAAGGAGTTTTGTCTTTCTCATCTTTGTATTTCCAGAGCCTAGCACAATCACTAACATATAAGAGGCTTCAATGAGTGTCTGCTAGTTAGTGAATAATTAAATGAGGATTTTACAAAGTATACAAACTGGAATATAAAAGATCTTTTCAACTTCTATAGCCTCTGACACCATAGCCCATTCCTTCTCTTGCATTTTGTGACACCCTTTCTCCTTCGTTTTCTTTTTTTTAAATATTTTATTGACTATGCTATTACAGTTGTCCCAATTCCACCCCCTTTATTCCCCTCTGCCCTCTAACCCCTCTCACACCAACATTCCACCACCCTTAGTTCATGTCAATGGGTCGTACATATAAGTTTTTTGGCTTCTCTATTTCCTATAGTATTCTTAACCTCCCCCTATTTTTTTAAGACTTTATTTATTTACTTTTTGGAGTGAGGGGGAGGGAGAAAGAAAGAAAGAGAAACATCAATGTGTGGTTGCCTCTCATGTGCCCCCATACTGGGGTCCTGGCCTGCAACCCAGGCATGCTCCCTGACTGGGAATTGAACCAGTGACCCTTTGCTTCACAGATTGACACTCAACAGATTGAGCTACACCAGCCAGGGCTCCCTATTTTGTACCTACCATTTATGCATCTTCTTCCCTGTACCTTTCCCCTCATTCTCCCTTCTCCCTCTCCTCTGTCCATATCATATGGATAACCCTCCATGTGATCTCCATTTCTGTGATTCTGTTTCTTTTGTTTGTTTGTTTTACATTCAGTTGTTGATAGTTGTGATTTGTTGTCATTTTAGTGTTCATATTTTTGATCATCTTCTTTTTCTTAGATAAGTCCCTTTAACATTTCATGTAATAAAGACTTAGTGATGATGAACTCCTTTAACTTAACCTTATCTGGGAAGCACCTTATCTGCCCTTCCATTCTAAATGATAGCTTTGCTGGATAGAGTAATCTTGGATGTAGGTCCTTGCCCTTCTTGACTTTGAATATTTCTTTCCAGCCTTTTCTTGCCTGCAAGATTTCTTTTGAGAAATCAGCTGATAGTCTTATGGGAACTCCTTTGTAGGTATCTGTCTTCTTTTCTCTTGCTCCTTTCAAGATTCTCTCCTTATCTTTAATCTTGGCTAATTATGATATGCCTTGGTGTATTCCTCCTTGGGTCCAACTTCTTTAGGATTCTCTGAGCTTCCTGGAGTTCCTGGAAGTCTGTTTTCTTTGCCAGATTGGGGAAGTTCTTCATTATGCTCTCAAATAAGTCTTCAATTTCTTGTTCTTCCTTTTCTCTTTCTGAATATGATTCAGATATTGGAATGTTTAAAGTTGTCCCAGATATTCCTAAGCCTCTCCTCATTTTTTTTTTTTTTGAATTTTTGTTTCATCATTCTGTTCTGGTTGAATGTTTCTTTCTTCCTTCTGCTCCAAATCACTGATTTGAATCCTGGTTTCCTTCCTGTCACTGTTAGTTCCCTATACATTTTCCTTTATTTCACTTTGCATAGCCTTCACTTTTTCCTCTATTTTGTGACCATACTCAACCATTTCTATAAGCATGCTGGTTACCAGTGTTTTGAATTCTGCATCTGATAGGTTGACTATTTCTTCATTGCTTAGTTGTATGTTTTCTGGAGCTTTGATCAGTCCCTTCAATATTTTTTTGTCTCAGTGTGCCTGTTATGTAGTAAGAGGCAGAGCCTTAGGTATTTGCTAGGGCAGAGCAACCCATATTGTGTTGTGGAGCTGTATGTGGGGGAAGGGTCCAAGAAGGAACAATGCCACTTGTTTGGCTCTTGGCTGGCATTTGGTCACTTGCCCCACTACCCACAAGCAATTGGGCTTTTCTGGTGCTGATTCTCAGGTGGGTGGGTTTGTGTACATTCTAGGACCCTGTGGGTCTCTTCAACAAACTCTCCTGTGAGGCTGAGAGTTTCTCCCACTGCTGCAACATCCACAGATTTTTGCAGTCAGAGGTTTTAAGGCTTTATTTCCCCAAGCTGGTACCCTGAGTTGAGTGGTCTGTCTCACTCCCTAGTTGTTCCTCCTGGTTTATCCACATGCAAATGTGGGACTGCCCACTCCACCAGCCATGGCCTTGCCTGCACTGATCCTCCAGCTGCCCACCTTGCTGTGAGTGCTCTCTGCTCTGGCTGCTCATCTCCACCCCTCATACTGGTCTGGATGAATGTTTCTTCTTTAACTCCTTAGTTGTCAGACTTCCATACAGTTCAATTTTCTGTCAGTTCTGGTTGTTTTTTGTTTTTAAATTTGTCATTGTCCTTTTGGTTGTGTGAGGAGGCACATTGTATCTACCTATGCCTCCATCTTGGCCAGAAGTCTCTCCTTGGTTTTGTAGTACCTGGACCCTTCTCAATCTTTTTTTTTTTTTTTTCTGGTTGTCCTTTCATATTATCTCTGTCCTCAACATTCTTATCTGTTTTTTAAAAACATTTTTAAAAGTTTATTAATATAAGAGAGAGAGAAACATTGATTTGTTGTTCCACTTCCTTATGCATTCATTGGTTGATTCTTGTATGTATCCTGACTGGAGATTGAACCCACAATCGTATAAGGATGACATTCTAACCAACTTAGTTCCCAGGGAGGGCTGTTAATCTGCTCTTCATACAAGTTCTTTTTTTGGATGTTAAGTTTTTCCCTCTCTTCCCTTGTAAACTTATGCTAAAGCCACCCTGGTTTACTTGTTGGTCTTCAAACACAATATACATATATTTTTAAAGATTTTATTTATTTATTCCTAGAGAGGGGGGAAGGGAGGGAGAAAGAGAGGGGGAGAAACATCAGTGTGAGAGAGAAACATTCATCAGTTGCTTCTCGTACATGCTCCGACTGGGGACTGAACCTGCTGCAACCAAGGCCATGTGCCCTTGACTGGGAATTGAACCAGCAACTTCTCTGCAGATCAGTGCCCAACCAACTGAGCCACACCAGACAGGGGAAACAGAACATATACTTTTATTTGCCTTTGCACATCTATGTCTTTGGTCTAAAATGCCTTCTCCCATTTTTCTTGCCAAACAAATGTCTCATCCTCAAGACTCAGTTTCATTGTTACCTCTGAAAACTTTAGGTTTAATGTCTAGACAGAATTAATGATTTTCTTCTGTATTCTAAGAAGATATCTGATATACCACTAGTAGAGCAGTGATCAATTATGTTTTCATTATTTATGCAGTCTACATGTACTTATTTATGTCACCACTAGACTGTGAGCTCCTTAAAAGAATGCACCAGATATTATATAGGCATTTATTGGGCAATTTACTCATATGTAAAACACTTTACTTTGCAGGTTGTGCAAATTAAAAATGATAGTTGTACTGGATGTAAAATCAAAATTAAAAAATAGATGTAAAGTGCCAAGCCCATAGTAGATGCTCAAAGAATGATAGCTGTTGCATTTGAGGAATGAAAAGAGGAACAAACAAGTTCTTTGAGCACAGTGGAAGGAGACTGTACCTGTATCTAAGGGAAATGGAAAGGCTTCATCAAGCCAACCTCTTCACTTGTTCACCCATCTCACCTACTCAAGAATATCACTTCAGCAATTCTCCCTTCTCCTTCATCAGATTTTTCTTCTCTACTGAATCATTCCCAAGTCATTATTTCTCCAATTTTAAAAAATAATCAGCAATACAAACTTTTGACTCCAACTTCTTGAAGAGCTGTCCTATTATCCACTGTCTCTGAGTCCTCTTTTCCAATTCTCCAGTCAAACATTCACTCCCATCACTTTCACTGAAATTACTCATCAGTTTCCAGTCTCCATGTTCTAAAAACCTTCAGTCATGATTCAGTTTTCAGCTCACTTGACCTATTAATAGCATTTTACATGGTTGATCACTCCCTTCCCCTGTCTTCACTTGGCTTATAGGACACAAAAATCTTTGGGTTTTCCTCCTACTTCACTGGTCATTTCTTCTAAGTCTCTCTTGTTGGCTCCTTTCCTCTCTCAGCACTCTTAATATTAGAATGTCCCCAGAGCTCAGTCCTTGGGCCTTTTTTTTTTGTTTATACCCATTCCCTTGGTGATCTAATGGCTTTACATGTCATCTCTATGCCGGTGACTCCCAGACTCTTATACACAGCTATGTCATGTCCAATTTTTGCATGTCCAGAGCTGACCTTCTCTCCAAAACTGTTCCACTTACAGTTTCCCCATTTCATTTGATGGCAACTTTGACCTTTTAGTTGTCCAGTCAAAAACGTCAAGTCATTCTTGACTGCCTTAACACTCTACACGTAATCTGTCAGGTAATTCTATTGGCTCTACCTATAATATATATTTAGAATATATATATAAAAATATATATATATAATTAAACATATAATTATATATATCAGTTCAACTGCTCATTTCCTCCTCTATTACCACCCTGATCCACCATCATATCTCACCTGGGTTACTGCAATAATAACCTCCCAACTAGGTTCTCAACTTCTACCCTCGTTCCTACAGTTTAGTACCAACCAGTAGTCAAGTGATATAAGTCTAGTCATTCTTCTGGTTAAGAATCCTAATAGTGTTTCCATTCATGTTCCAATAATAGCTTGTTGGCTATTTTTACCTATGATATATGAGTGTTTTTTTTTTCTATATGCATATTCCCATATATAGAAATAGTCACCCTTGTCTCCTCAACCCTGGTATCATTAGGTTTACCTCTCGATATGTTTTCACCAGTCCTGGGATGTCATGAAAGATTGTTGCTATTCCTGGTCTCCTGGCCACTCCTACCCCAGTGACAGTGTCTATTTGTAAAATACTGTCAGTGGAAATCATCCATATCCCGGGTTCACCTAGGAAAAGACAAGAGAAAGCACTTGACTACAACCTTTTGATATACATTGGTAGCCACTTTAACATTACTCAGACTCTAAACCATTAGACCAGTCAAGCAACTGGATCTCTCTCCCCAAGAGCAACACACAGCTTTGAGAATAACTTTGTTTTTTGGTTCTTAGGCTGATGCTCAATCCACTGAGCCACACTGGCCAGGGCATAACTTTGTTTTTTGTTTTTAAAGATTTTATTTATTTATTTTTAGAGAGGGAAGGGAGGGAGGGAGAGAGAGAGAGACAGACAGACAGAGAAAGACATCAATGTGCGGTTGCTGGGGGTTATGGCCTGCAACCCAGGAATGTACCCTGGCTGGGAATCGAACATGGGACACTTTAGTTCCCAGCCCGCGCTCAATCCACTGAGCTATGCCAATCAGGGCTTTATAACTTTGTTTTTTGGATGGCAGGATCCCCTTCACATATCATGCTAGCAAAATAAAAGAAGAACCGCCCTGTCCAGGTGGCTCAGTTGGAGCGTCATCCTGTACACCAAAAGGTTGCGGGTTTGATCCCTGGTCTAGGCATGTAAGGGAGGCAACCATTGCTATTTCTCTCTATCTCAAATCAATAAACTTATCCTCAGATGAGGATTTAAATAAATAAATAAGAGCTACTTACTAACCTTCATAATCATAAAAGGTACTTAGTTCTCACTAAAGAAAAACTCATTTTACGTATGGATAACTCTCTAGTTAAACTTTGTTTAAACCTTGCTAAGGATGAATTCTGCTTTGAACTACCAATTGATACCAGCACAAAGACTGTAAGAAAGTGACAACTGGCAGGAGAAAGGATTTATTTTGGCTTAAATCTCAAGGTGGCAGAGGAATGCCAAACATTAGGCTAGATTACTGATCCTGGCGTGTGGCCCCTTTGCTTCTTCATCCAAAGTAGTATGTATTTGGGATGCCCAGAATATTCCAGAATGGAGACAGGGGGACAATCCTGATAAAACCTAGCAAAAGAGAGTAAAAGAGCCTCTGCCTCAATGACAAGAGATTAATAATCATGGCATTATAATTCTGTCAACCTTAAAGCAGAGTTAGCTCACCAGCCCTGGATTACATGTTAGTACAGGGTGCTTGCAAGTCAGCTGTTACAGGATTGGAGAATTTGACTTAGTCTGAATAGAGCTCCCTTTGTATCAAGTCCAAAGTATATAGTTAATGTTAAAGTCAGGTCCAACATTACATCACTTTACCTAAAAACATATACCCATAGTTCCAGAGAAGACACAAAGCCAAAGCCTGTCTTATTTGGATGGATTATTTGGATGCATACACTTAGTCAGTGTGTACCATTCAGAAATATGCTATCTGTAAGCCCAAATAATTATCATCATTTGTTAACCAAAGACTGATTTTCTTTTCTTTCTTTAAGATTTTATTTATTTATTTTTAGACAGAGGGGAAGGGTGGGAGAGAGGGAGAGAATCATCAATGTGTGGTTGCCTCTTGCGTGCCCCCTGTTGGGGACCTGGCCTACAACCCAGGCATGGGCCCCGACTGGAAATCAAACCGGCAACCCTTTGGTTCACAGGCTGGCACTCAATCCACTGAGTCACAAGGCCAGGTTGAAGGACTGGTTTTCTTTAACTCAGTAGTACTTCTTAGAACAGAAATGCTCTTGTTGATAAAAATAGTAAGGCCAAACCTTATTACAGTGATGACATATGTAGGAGTTAGGCCTCCAATGGGCCTCACAAAACACTATACACAAAATTGGTTCTTAGAACTAAAGCCTTATTGTTCTTTCCTTCCTTTTTTCATCGTTTACTTCAACTTAGCATGCACCCTCCTTCAGAAATTGGAAATGGAGAAGGCACAGGACCCTACACTGTCTATATAGTACACTACATAGAGCTATGCATTCAATAGGCACTTAATAAATATGACGGTCTGCTATAATGACTGGCTATTGAGAGAAATGGGCATGAAAATAATAAAATACATAAAAACATTTTCTTTCTAAGAGAGGCCCTAAGATTTCAGATAATTTGGGAAAAAATTATCCTCTAAGGGACAAGTTGCTTTGTAATCCAGTCAGTTGTGAGGCTAAGAAAGGGAAGGCATCCAGACCATTTTGGTTGAGGAGGTGAGTACTGAAGCAGATGACATCTCCAACAAAGGTACCCTTGGTGTCTGGCTCAATGGCATGCTCCACAGCTACAGGAATATAGTCTGCCATGCCTGGGTGCCTCTGATCCCAGAGCCCCACAAGTGTCACCCCTCTGTTCACAGCCTGGGCCACGTAAGTGTAGTTCCTGTTCCCTGGTCCAATAAGCAGTAGGTCATCTCTGAAGGGAGACATGAAAGGCAGAAATTCTGAAAAGAGGCAATAGTTAGGAAAACAGTTCTGAGGGCAGACCCTCTTTCAACATCTTATATTCAACAGCTCAAAAGTTCAGAAGGAATTCTACAATGGGGTGTGAGCAACTAGGGGCCAGAGATTAGTCTATTACCTTCATATATACAGTGCCCAGTAAGGCTTTTTTTTTAATTTAAAAATTTTTTCAGCATGACTTTTAAAAATATATATTTTATTGATTATGCTATTACAGTTGTCCCATTTTCCCCCACCCCTTAATAAATATGGCACCTCCTCTGCCCTGTGCACCTCCTCCTACCTGCATCCCCCACCCCTTTAGTTCATATCCTTGGGTCATCTATATAAGTTCTTTGGCTTCTACATTTCCTATACTATTCTTAAGCTCCCCCGGTCTCTCTTCTACCTACCATCTATGCTACTTATTCTCTGTACCTTTACTCCTCTCTACCCACTCCCTTGCTGATAACCCTCCATGTGATCTCCATTTCTGTGATTCTGTTCCTGTTCTAGTTGTTTCTTTAGTTTGTTTTTGTTTTGGTTTTTAAGTTCAGCTGTTAATAATTGTGAGTTTTTTGTCATTTTACTGTTCATATTTTTTATCTTCTTTTCCTTAGATAAGTCCCTTTAACATTTCATGTAATAAAGGCTTGGTGATGATGAACTCCTTTAACTTGACCTTATCTGAGAAGCATCTTATCTGCCCTTCCATTCTAAATGATAGCTTTGCTGGATAGAGTCATCTTGAATGTAGGTCCTTGCCTTTCATGATTTGGAATACTTCTTTCCAGCCCCTTCTTGCCTGCAAGATTTCTTTTGAGAAATCAGCTTATAGTCTTATGGGAACTCCTTTATAGGTAACTCTTTCCTTTCCTCTTGTGGCTTTCAAGATTCTCTCCTTATCTTTAATCTTGGTTAATGTAATTATGATGTGCCTTGGTGTAATCCTCCTTGGGTCCAACTTCTTTGGGACTCTCTGAGCTTCCTGGAGTTCCTGGGAGTTTGTTTCCTTTGACAGATTGGGGAAGTTCTTCATTATGCTCTCAAATAAGTCTTCAATTTCTTGTTCTTCCTTTTCTCCTTCTGGAACCCCTATAATTTGGATGTTGTCCAAATGTTTAAAGATGTCCTGGAGGTTCCTAAGCCTCTCCTCATTTTTGTGAAAACTTATTTCTTCGTTCTGTTCTGGTTGAATGTTTCTTTCTTCCTTCTGGTCCACACCATTGATCTGAGTCCTGGTTTCCTTCCCATCACTGATGGTTCCCTGTACATTTTCCTTTATTTCACTTAGCATAGTCTTTATTTTTCCCTCTAATTTGTGACCATATGCAACCAATTCTGTGAGCATACTGATTACCAGTGTTTTGAACTGTGCATCTGGTAGGTTGGCTATCCATCGCTTAGTTGTATTTTGTCTAGAGCTTTGATGTGATCTTTCATTTGGGCTATTTGTTTTTGTCTTCGCACACCTGTTACGTATAAGGGGCGGGGCCTTAGATGTTCACTAGGGCAAGTCAACCCACCTTGCTGTGTTGTGACACTGTATGTGGGGGCGGGGTCCAAGAGGGAACAATGGCGCTTGCTCCACTCTCTGATAGTTTTCAGTCACTTGCCTCACTACCCACAAGCAAATTGGGCCCTTCTGGTGCTGATTCCTGGGTGAGTGAGTTTGTGTATGTTCTAGGACCCTGTGGGTCTCTTCAGTGAACTCTCCTGTGAGGCTGGGACACTCTCCCACTGCTGCCTCAATCCCCACAGGTGTTTTCAGTCAGAGGTTTGAGGCTTTATTCCCCCACACTGGAACTCTGGGTTGAGTGGTCTGTCTTGCTCCCTAGTTGTTCTTTTCAGTTTAAATGCACACGAATGTGGGACCACCCACTCCACCAGCCACCACCTTGCTGGGTTTGCCAGCTGAGGCCTTGCCATGAATCCTCTCTGCCCCTCCTACCAGTCTGGATGGATATTTCTTCTTTAACTCCTTGGTTGTCGAACTTCCATACAGTTCAATTTTCTGTCAGTTCTGGTCATTTTTTGTTTTTAAATTTGTTGTTGTAGTCCTTTTGGTTGTGCAAGGAGGCACAGTGTGTTTACCTACCCCTCCAACTTGACTGGAAGTCCCAGCAAGTGTTTATAATACTCCAATTAGCTACCTATGGAAGCTTTCTGTGAACTAGAACTTGCCAGATTCAGAATATCCTGAACTTTTTCTTCATTGAACAACTAATACCACTCTGGTCTTTTTCCATCTTAAAGAAAGAAACAAAGATTAGATTCAAACAAAGTGCAGAATGTGAGAGCAATTTATTGGCTGCTATATAATACTAGCCTACTCTGCAAGAATTTCTACCACAGTGTCAACACCATTCCTTTGACTTCCATACCTGTTTAGAGCCAGATAAAGCTGGGTATTGTGTGTGTGAAATTTCTCTCCGATGCTATTATAAAACTGAACAGTAAAGGTGAGAAACATGCCCAGGGGGAAGGCTGACAGCATCCTTCCTTGAGCTGTGTATAGCTTGGGTTGGCTGCTCACTCGCAGGTATGTCACGGGTGCCACCTGTGGGAGATAAAACTTACTGGTACAGAGAAGAATGCACTGGAGAGGAGCTGTGACCATACTCTGAGAGTTATAGGCAATGATAAAAATAATGTTTCTCTTTTATAGGAAATAGCTCTTGATTTGAGATGACTTAAATCAGAGTGAAAAATATATTACTACAGGAAATGACTTTTAATTATTAAAGCTGTGGGAATGTGAAAAGAAGCTGGAGCTTTTTGAGGAAAAGACTACGATTCATCTATTTTGTGCAGAGTGCTCAATATTGTTAAATAATTGAACATTTATCAAGAATATTATAGCTCTGGCTGGTGTGGCTAAGTGGATTCAGCCCCAGCCTGTGAACTGAAAGGTTCCAGTTCAGTTCTGTTCAGGGCACATGCCTGGGCTGTGGGCCAGGTCCCCAGTTCAGGGAGTGCAAGAGGCAACCAATTGATGTTTCCTTCATACATCAAAGTTTCTCTTCCTCTATATTTCCCTCCCTACCCTCTCTGTGAAAATAAATAAAATCTTTAGGAAAATATTATAGATTGCTTTTATGCTGTAAGAGAAGCTATGATAACAGTAAGAAAAGTCCAGCTTTGAGTCCTAGCTTCATCATTTCATAGCTTCATTTAGTCATTCTAGATCTTAGATTTCTTGTGAGTTTAATAGGGATAATCATGCCTAACTCATAGGGGTTTTGTAGTGGTTAGAAGAGATAATATACATAAAAGGACCAACATAAGAGTTTATTATAAATTTGTTTCACAGGCCACATGGAAATAAAAGGACTATATACAGTCTTTCAGGAAACAGACAGGGAGCTAAGGACGGCCAAGATGAGTCTAGGGCTTGGGTTGAGCACATTCCTGGGGGAGGAGGCCCTGTTGGGATGGCCCACCAGCCCCATAAACCGGGTCAGCAAGTCCTGCAGGGGCCTGGGGCATGGGAACACCCGCTGGGAGTCTCTGCCAGCAGCCCAGCTGATCCTTGGGCCCCCAGCAGCTCTTTGGGAGGAGGTCTCTCTATTGTCACTGAAACCAGGTTTCCCCCTCAAAGCAGCACAAGGCCAAGGACTCACTTTTCTTTCTGCTTGTTTTGAGTTCTTTGGCTTGATCTTCCTGAGTTCATCACAGTCACACAGGGTCAAATTCATATACTTGTCAAAAGCCTTGAAGGTGCCAATGAAGATAGGACCATCTTGCAGGATGCACCTCATCCTGTAGTCGATGTGCTGCAGCATCTTGCTGCTCTTGGTGGCAGTTCTGATGTGTATATTAGACTAACTTATCTCTGAGGAATCATCTTCTTTTTTTTTTAAAGATTTATTTATTTATTTATTTTCAGAGAGAGGGGGAGGGAGGGAGGGAGGAAGAGAGAGAAACATCAAAGTGTAGTTGCCTCTCATGCACCCCCAACTGGGGTGGGGACCTGGCCTACAACCCAGGCATCTGCCTTGACTAGGAATTGAACTGGTGACCCCTTGGTTCACAGGCTGGCACTCAATCCACTGAGCCATACCAGGCAGGGCTGAGGAATCTTATAATTCTAAATTTTTAAAAAAGATTTTATTTATTCATTTTTAGAGAGGGGGGAAGGGAGGGAGAGAGGGAGAGAAACATCAATATGTGGTTGCCTTTCATGTGCCCCTCACTGGGGACCTGGCCTACAACCTAGGTATGAGCCCTGACCGGAAATTGAACTGGCAACCCCCTGGTTGGCAAGCCATCACTCAATCCACTGAGCCACACCAGCCAGGGCTAATTCTAATTTTTTTTTCTGAAAACTGCCAAATTTTAATGGCAACAATTCCATATTTCTCCTACACCAACCCTCTTGGCCAAGTTGTTAGAAGACAGTCATACCAACTTGAGGTTAATCCCACAAACTCTAAAGTACACTTTAATTTGATGGTTTAGAATCATGTCAATATTGTCCTCTTATAGTTCATTTTGGACTTCCAGAGAAGCTTCTAGTTCTTAAAAAAGGGAATCTGATTCTTAAGGCCACAGTATTCCTTTTATTTATTAGTTTGTTTTGAGTAAGTCCCTGAACTCACCTGAACTGCAGTTATGGTTGTTTGGTTGACTCCAAAAGGCTCTACAGAAGTGACTTCCAACACAGCAGTACCTGCAATGGAACCAGCTCTTAGGAGCCCTGCGCCGTCTTCTTCAATGACGGATGAATTAGGGAAACACTTGAGAACACGGGAACTCACAAAGGCAGCCCCTTCCCTAGGGAACAAACAGAGCAAGTGGTATCTCTTGGGAACTCTGACCAGAAAGGAAGGAGCAAAAATTGCCAGGAACACTGTGAAAGGCTGTTCCCTGAGGAAACTGCTTGGCATTCTCCATATTGTGTGCTTATCTGTTCCTCAGGTGAAAGTCTGTCTGTGGATTATGCTTAGCTTTTTTTAAAACAACTTTTTTAATTGATTGATTTCAGAGAGAGAGAAAAAGGGGGGAGAGAGAGAAACATCAATCTACTGTTCCACCCAGTCATTCACTTACCAGTTTATTCTCGTATATGCCCTAAATAGGGATTGAACCCACAATCCTGGATTATCAGGGACGTCACTCTAACCAGCTGAGCTATTTGGCTAGGGCCTATGCTTATCTTTTAAAAAAATCAAATCCTATTATACGTTTATCACTAAAAATTATCTGGTCAACCTGGCTGGTGTGGCTTAGTCGACTGAGTGCTGACCTGTGAACCAAAGGGTTGCTGGTTCAATTCCCAGTCAGGGCACCGGCCTAGGTTGTGGGCCAGGTCCCCAGTAGGGGGTGCATAAGAAGTAACCACACATTGATGTTTCTTTTCCTCTCTCCCTCCCTTCCCCTTTCTCTGAAAATAAATAAAATGTTTTTTAAAATTATTTTGCCAAAAGAATTGAAACAGGTATTTAAATACTTGTACATGAATGTTCATAGCAGCACTCTTCACAATAGTTAAAACATGAAAACAACCAAAATGTCCATCAACGGATGAATGGATAAACAAAATGTTCTGTCCATACGATGGAATATTATTTACTCATAAAAAGTAATAAAGTACTGATACATGCTATAACATGGAAGAACCCTGAAAACATTATGTTAACTGAAAGCAGCCAACACAAAAAGTCACATATTGCATGATTCCTTTGGTATGAAATACACAGAACAGTTAAATTCATAGAGGTGGCTGATTAGTAGTTGCCAGGGGTTGAGACCAGGGGAGCTGGAGAGTGACTCCTTAATGGGTTTGGTGTCCCATTTTGTGGTAATGAAAATGTTTTGGAGCTAGGCAGAGGTGATGGTTGCACAGTTTTGTGAATGTACTAACTGCCACTGAATTGTCCACTTTATTTTATTTTTGTGGAGGGTCTTCCAGTAAAGACTGGAAGACCTACTAGACAAATTAAAAAAGAGCTGTAAGTGCTTGAATTGTACACTTTAAAATGGTGAAGTTTATGTTATGTGAATTTTACCTCAACCAACAAAAAAATTATTTGTGGATAAGAAAAACCAGCTGGAAGGCAATAGTCCGTTCCGTGTGCAATGTTCTACTGAGGGCGAAGTTGGAACCCGGCCTGGCCTTCTTCCCCATTATCCTTACCTGTTGGTATGAAGTTTGAGTTGAGAGTTCATGGGCATTAGAATGTGCTTGGGTTGGCACTCTGGATAGAAAATATGGAGTTTTTCGAACACCTAAAATGAGAAAATAACTTTTCCTCATTTCTGGAAAAGACAAATGATGACCTTTACTCACATATGGACAACTACAAGCCTAACGTCAGTGTAGCCTAATGTTCCACAACACTCCCTTCCAAAATTAGTCAGGAACTTAAAACATTTTCTAGGTATCCTAGAATATGTAACCTAATATTAGCCCTGCTTCAAGTTACACATATCACATCCTCTGCATTACTTAGATGTAAGGTGTAAAGTAATTTTGAAACTTCTAATTTTAGCTCCTAGAACCTGAAAAAAGATTTGAGAAAAAAGATCCTATAATATTAAATTAACAAGGGACACTATTCAGGCCTTCCATCTAGTAAAGTGTTCTTTCCTCTATGTCCCACTGCGTCAGAGCACCAAAACCAAAATAAAGGAGAAAAAAAAAACCACAGAAGAAATCAGCCCCTATTCAGAGGGAGAGAATTTTATTTGCCCCACATAAATGATAAATTTTTCTTTTGAATTCTAAAAGCAGTAGAGCTACTTAACTTTCAGCTTGAGAACACTGTAGAAACTTTTCATACTCTACACCTTACTGGAAGTGAGGATTAGATTCCATTCTACCTACGAATATAACTAAGTGGACTGTATAATAATATCTATGTTAGGCAGAATGTCACAAATTAATCTCTTTGCTTATCATGGTGCTCAAATCCTGTGCTCCTTATGTGGAAACTAGAGGAGTGCATGCACTATAGTTTCTAATGTCAATACTATGTGAAGGCAATTAGCAGAAATGACAAAGATCTAGAAACTATAAACCCGTTCTAGGTATCTCTAGCAATTTCTCTATGTCTATTCAGACAAAGCTCTTCCTGGATGACAAGCAATTATAACCTTTTTCTCCTTGATATACAAAAATGAGATTTAGGTTTGGGTCCTTACCAGGATCTGAACTTCATCAGACAGTTCCAACAAATTCCCCTCAAACTGCCCAGAAGAACTGTTCATACCACGGACAGTGACTTTGATACTGGTCCGACCAGCTGCTTTTGTGTGGACAACCATGGCAAAGTTATTTTCTACTGGGGGCTGTAGAAACACCTACAGAGTGAAGACATAGATTAAGAAAATTTATGAATAAACACTGTGTCCATCTCTCTTTTTTGTAATGATAAGGAAAATGTACATTGGAAGTAGCTCTCTAGAAGAACTAGAGTACCAGGGCTTATTTTCATAATTACTTCCTTTCATATTCTTAGCAACATAGTCACCCCTAGAGAAACCTCTCTTTGCAGCGCTCTGCTAATTCTAGCATGCCTCCGTAAGATTCTTAAGTTATCTCAACATCAATTCATTGATAGGAAAAGAATGGAAATGGAGAAAGAGGGTTGTAAAATGGGTTCAGACAGTAGAACTTGAGATGAGAGAGAAGCGAGGCAATCCGCTCCTGGAATTCAGTGGTACCAAGAAGGGAAGAAGACAAGAGAGGGAAGCTTCTGCTTTAAGATTACGCTAAAACTGACTATCTCCCCACTTGCTTCACTCACCATTCTAGCCTAGACTGAAAAATATTCTAGACTAGATCTTGACAGATTTCTGGGATAGAGAAGGGAGGGCTACCACTAACACAAATGTTGGAATGCACACTTTTTCGTATGTATTTCCCATCCTATCTCCCGTGACTCATCTGCCCAGAGCCCTCAAGATCTTCCTTTAGTTCTCTTGACTCACATAGTGCCCTAAGTTCCAAAATCACTCTTCCCTTCTCCCCTACATAAAAATTCCCATTTTCTTTGCAGAAAATCTCAGTAGATTCCAATCAGTTGCCTGGAAGAGAGTCTTATGCTAAAAAATGAGGCTTATAGTTGTTTAATCCAAGTGAATCTCTAAATGGTCACACCACAGTTCAGGAAATCTACCTTGTGGTGCATTGGAGACCTTGCTATAGCCTATTTCTTTTTTTAAATATATTTTTTATTTTTAGAGAGAGGGGAAAGAGAGGGAGAGAAACATCAATGTGTGGTTGCCCCTTGTGTGCCCCCTACTGGGGATGTGGCCTGCAACCCAGGCTTGTGCCCTGACTGGGAATCCAACTGGTGACCCTTTGGTTTGCAGGCTGGCACTCAATCCACTGAGCCACACCAGCCAGGGCTATCACCTATTTCATAAACAGTTTGCCTATGCAGGTCTGAAGCAAAAGAAATCTTTGTATTGCTCTAGTCATTTCTTCTCCTAGAGGAAAGAGTGATGCTTTAGATAAGAAAATTGGAGAAAGGGAGGTATAGAACTAATGCTAAGGCCTAGGCTGTCCCCTGCTTTTACACAATTTTTATTTGGTCTTCAGGAAAAAAAGGCAAATCCCTCTGCAGAACTTTACAAACTAAGTACAGTTCAGTCTTTCCTCAGTTCCAACTGAGGTCTTTGGGCAGCCCATGACAGACAGACCCAAGCGGCAGGATGTCCCTAGATTATAGACGTAGCATATTTTTAGAAAGATTACAGATAGATATTTTACTTTTCCCATACCCTGCTCTTTTCATTTTAGTTGGTTCCAAAAATACCCTAATTCTAACATCCGTAAATGTTCCATTCTCTCCCAAAGTCTAACTTTAATTCTTTGTATTCATGGGCACTGAATTGTGACCTGCTGGGTACCTCCACCCAGGTTCCTTCTTCCTGAGGTAAAGCCCAGATGTAGGTGGCTGTCACTGTCCCAAGACCACCTTGGGTGGGTTTTATCCAACTGACGATCAGGTAACAATGTTGTAAACCAGGTAAAGTTTGTCTGTAGCATCCACTTTTCTTTCTCAAGTTTCAGAGTAAGGTTTCAATATGTGTACTAAGACATCAAAACTATTTTCATAAACATAGAGACTTAGGTCACATTGTGGATTTCCTCCATGCTCATCCTGAGGGCTTTAGCCATTCCAGATGCAGGGCATGCAGAATTAGAAGGAGCTGACACCACCAACGGGAAACATGGAGGAGGGTTTAATTAATCATCCTTCTTACATTTGTTATTGATAGGAGGCATTCCGTCCAGAATCAGCTGCCAGTTAGTGGCCCACACCAGCCACATGGCACCCATTGCACCCCACATGCTTACAGTAGGAATTCAGCTCTGGGTAGCACATGCCCAGGAATGTGCTCAGCACCCACTTTTTGTACTGTTAATGTCAGCTGCCCATAATGCAGCACAAACATGATTGTTACTATAATTGTGTCTGAACATGTTAAAAAGATTATGTTAATATTTACACTCTATGTATACATGTGAGAGGGGAACCCCCCGACATGGAATTATCTTCTGGAGAGCAGGCCCCTTGTGGTACAGACTTCTCCTGCTGGGTGAGTGTTCTAGGAACCCATCTGTATCAGTGCATCATCTGGCGTTGTTGTGAGAGGCTGCGTTCGGCTTTAGTGCATTTTTTTTAAGACCCTTTCACTGTGTTTGCCCATTTCATGATGGGTGATTTACAAACACACCATCCCCAGGACTTCCGGCAAGATGGAGGCATAGGTGGACGCACCGTACCTCCGCACACAACCAAGATTAGAACAACAACAACTTAGAGGCACAATAATACCCAGAACTGACAGAGAATTTATCTGAATGGAAGTCAGACAGCCAAGAAGTTGAAGTAGACCCGTTCGTCCAGATTGGTGGGAGGGGCGGAGAGGAGCAGCCGGTTGAGGCGCGCGGAGAACGGGGAGGACTGGGCACATGGGGCAGCTGGGGGCGAGTAGGGCATCTGGGGTGCACAGGATTGCGGCAGGTGGGCCCTGAGTGTGCAAGTGGCAGCTGGTGGACCCAGTGAGGCGGCGACTGTGGACCACAGCAGAGCAAGCAACCCAGGATCCCAGAAAAGGGACTGAGGTCCCAGGAGAACAGAGCTACTGCCATTGTTCCCTCCCGCCCCTGCCCCCACCCCCGCCCCCACATACAACATCACAACCTAGCGACTGGGGTGCCCAGCCCTGGTGAACACCTAAGGCTCCGCTCCTCACCGTAACAGGAGCAACCAGACCAAAAAAAAAAAGAGAGAGAGAGAGAGAGAGTGACATGTCTCAAACAGAAGAACAGATCAATGCCCCAGGACTCATGCTTTTGAGCTACCAAGAGATAGCCAATCTATCAGATGCACAGTTCAAAACACTGGTGATCAGGAAGCTCACAGAATTGGTTGATTTTGGGCACAAATTACATGAAAAAATGCAGGTTACCATAAAAGAGATGAAGGAAGATGCATGGAGAACCAATAGTGATGGGAAGGAAACTGGGACTCAAGTCAATGGAGTGGACCAGAAGGAAGAAAAAAACAACCAAACAGGAAAGAATGGAGAAATAAGAATTCAAAAAAACGAGAAGCTTAGGAACCTCCAGGACATCTTTAAACATTCCAACATCTGAATTATAGGGATACCAGAAGGGGAAGAGGAAAAGCAACAGATTAAGCATGTATTTGAACAAATAATAAAGGAGAACTTCCCCACTCTGACAAAGGAAATAGACTTCCAGGAAATCCAGGAAGCTCAGAGAGCCCCAAAGAAGTGGGACCCAAGAAGAAACACACCAAGGCACATCATAATTACATTAGCCAAGGTAAAAATGAAGGAGAGAATCCTAGAAGCAGCAAGAGATAAGGGGACAGTCACCTACAAAGGAGTTCCCATCAGACTGTCAGCTGATTTCTCAAAAGAGACCTTACAGGCAAGAAGGGGCTGGAAAGAAGTATTCCAAGTCATGAAAGACAAGGACCTACATCCCAGATTGCTCTATCCAGCAAAGCTCTCATTTAGAATGGAAAGGCAGATAAAGTGCTTCTCAGATAAGGTCAAGTTAAAGGACTTCATCATCGCCAAGCCCTTATTTTATGAAATGTTAAAGGGACTTATCTAAGAAAAGAAGATACAGGAAAAACATGTATAGTAAAAGGACAGAAAACTCAACAATCATTAACAACCACACCTAAAGCAAAACCAAAAGAAACTAAGCAAACAACTAGAACAGGAACAGAACCACAGAAATGGAGATCACATGGAGGGATAGCAACAGGGGAGTGGGAGGAGGAGAGAAGGGGAAAAGGTACAGAGAATAAGTAGCATAGATTGTAGGTTGAAAATAGATAGGGGGAGGGTAAGAATAGTATGGGAAATGTAGAAGCTAAAGAACTTATAAGTATGACACATGGACATGACTAAAGGGGGGGATATGCATGGGAGAGGGTGTAGAGGGTAGAGGGGAGTGAAGGGGGGAAAATGGGACAACTGTAATAGCATAATCAATAAAATATATTAAAAAAATAAAATAAAGAAACAAGTACACCGTCCCACACTGTGCTGAGCATTCAGCAGTTTTTGACTAAAAACAGCAATGACCCCCATGCCCCATCCTCTCTATTCACCCAATCTCGCCGTGAGCAACTATTTTTGTTTTTGTGGATGAAAAAAGCCCTCAGAGGGAAACGTTCTGCCAGTGTGGAAGAGGGGAAACAAAAAATGGCAGAGCACTTAAAGGCATCAAAATCAATGAATTTAGGCCCTGGCTGGTGTAGCTCAGTGGATTGAGCATGGGCTGCAAACCAAAGTGTCGCAGGTTCGATTCCCAGTCAGGGTACATGCCTGGGTTGCAGGCCATAACCCCCAGAAACTGCACATTGATGTTTCTCTCTCTCTCTCTATCTTCCTCCCTTCCCTCTCTAAAAAATAAATAAATAAAACCTTTAAAAAAAATCAGTGAGTTTAAAACCTGTTTTGAGCAATAGCAAAAATGTCTTGATAGGCATATTGTATCAAATGGAGAGTACTTTGAAGTTTAAATATGTAAGAATAAATGCACAATTTTTAAATAAATAAATTCTGTATTTTGGAGGTCCCCTCTCATACTTTATATTAATAATATGTTACTTATATAACATAGTCATCTGCTTACAAATGCAACAACAAATACAGTATTAAGGAAATCATTGCTTTCAAGAGCTCTTTCTAGCAAAGTATATTAAAAATCATATAACATTATAGGAGTACTCAAATTTGGATTTTTCAAGAGTTACAATTTTCTAGCATTCATGGAACAATAGGAAAAGGAGACAAGTAATAATATTATTACTTAGAAATAATAGTAGTTTAGAAAGTGAGTCCAAAACTGATAATGAAATAAACTTAAGACTCTTAAGATAATGTAATCAACAGATAAATTCATACCTCTGCATGCCTGGGTACTAGATCCAGTACCTCCCTTTTGCTCATGGACCAGTGGAATGTGAGCCCAGGGTTGGCATTGCTGAAAGAGAACGGGGTCTGGGTACTGCTCACTCCCATGACATAAACTGGCATCTGAAAAGAAAAAAGTGATTTTGTGCTATTTATCTTGCCCAATTGACATTATCAAGATGATGAACCCAGAACAGAGTCATTGTACTGACCTCGGTGGCTGTGATGAGTCGAGTTGCAGCTGCAAGGATCCTAACAGACCTTAGCTGAACGACCTCAATCTGCACTTCATCCTGCTCAACAGGGTGGAGAACCGGGTTAGGCTAAGAGAAAGTGTCTGTGAGGTGGACAGAGATGCTTGTGATAACTAGTTGCTTTGTTGTCATTTGGGCATTCAGCAACAACAAAACATGACTTAGTATGTTTTTGCTCTTTAAACAACTCCTCAAGGATAGGGATTATGTCTTATAACAATGCCAAGTGCTCTGTGGGTTTTTCACTACAGATCCCATATTTCCCATGCCTGGTTAAAAGCATGCCAGATGAGGGGACTAAAAGGGTTTTCCTCATCATTATTCCCTCCCCCACCTCCCAGTATGGTTCCCAGATGAAGTGGAAGCAGAGCAGAACAAAGAACCAATACCTGGGAAAACACGATGACTTTGCCAGTATCTTCATTCACTGTCTGGATGGTGCCATGGACCACAGCTGTGCCAACCACCTTCCCTGTAACTTGCCCCCTCCTATTAACAACAGCCACAGTCTGATTACTGATGGAGAAGTGAATGATAGATTGGGGCTGGGGCCCACCTTCAGACATTACCTGGAATGTAAACACACCAGTGAATGCCCGAAGCATGGGGAAAAGTCACATCACTGTTCTGAACATTTTGTCCAAACAACTTGGCTTCCTCATCTTCTCCCACTGCCTAGTATCCCACATCAACTCAAATGCAGAAAAAATGGAAGTGCTGCATATGATTCATGGGATTCTAAGAAGTAGTTCACTATGGAACTGGGAAAATACCGTATTTTGCCGTGTATAATGCACACTTTTTTGGCCCACATTTTTGAAGGAAAAATAAGGATGCACATTATACATGGGTATAATGTTTACATACTATGGGTAATATGATGAGTATGTATAATGCGCACAAAACGTGGGTGTGCATTATGCACAGCAAAATACGGTACTAATGTTCTTTATCAGACCTTATTGTATTTGACTGGGAGTACACAGGAGGATGCCAACAGGAAGAGGGGTGTGTGTGTGTGTGTGTGTGTGTGTGTGTGTGTTGGGGTGGCAAGAGGTGGGATGAGGAGAAAGGGTAAATCTTATTTTTCTGTCTTTAAGATCACCTGCATCATGTTAGTTGGAATCAGCATCATTTTCTCTGGAACAAGTTTGAATGGAGGAAACACCTTGATGGAGAAAAACAAAAGGACTACAGTGACTAACTAGAGTCAATTTCACAACAAACGATTGTGCAGCTTGTTCTAAGGGAAAATCCTAATTATGTACAATAAAGTGATATACAAAGGCATGTGTTATTTACAAATACAACTTTTATTTATACAGCAAACATTATAAATTACTTGAGTGAAAATGCTTAAATAAGTCATTACATATCCACTCACTGGAATAAAAGTGTCCATTAAAATTATGTTTGCAATTATCTTCCTTTTTAATGTTTTTTTTCACATATATATAAAAGTAGAGAGAACAGTATAAGGAATTTTCAGGTAACTATTACCCAGCTTCAACAATTATCAACACGTGGTTAAAAATGAGCTTTTAAGCACATAAGAAAATACTTCTGATAGAAGATTAAGATGAAAAAAAGCAGTATGATTCATCCATGTTACAAAAAGTATAGGGAAAAAGTGAAGAAATACACTGAAATCTTACAAATGATTGACTCTAAGTAGTGGAATTATAGGTGATTTTCATTCTGCATCATTATATTTTTGTGCTTTCCAATTTCTACAAGAAGTGTATTTTTTTTACACAGGAAAAAACCCCCCAAAACAAATCACATATTGTTGCAAAAGTTAGACAAGTATCATTTTTTTCAGTCAAATGATTTTCAACTTGTACAAACTAAACAGAAAAATGTAAATAATGCTAAATAAGATGAAGTACAATTTGGGATGAGATCATTTTCTTACTTCAATTTGCCGAGGGGCCGATGTGAACTTTTGCCCCATCCTGTCCCTAGCAATAGCCACAAGTGTGGTTTGCCCAACAGTGACAGCTTGAAGGACATAGTTTTCAGAGTATTTGTCCTGTTCCTCCGTTAGCCTGCAAAGATGCATGTATTTTCAGATAAGAAAGGTTTGGGTTTCCTTGTCTGTTTGTTTTTAAATAAAAAAAAAATAGGTTTATTGGTTTTAGAGAGGAAGAAGGGAGACAGCGAGAGTGAGAGTGAGAGCCAAGTGGGAGAGAGTGAAATGAGAGAGAGAGACACCGATCAGCCACCTCCCATATGTGTCCTGACCAGAGGTTGAACCCATGACCTGGGTATGTGGCCTGACCAGGGACTGAACCCATGACCTGTGTATGTGCCCTGACCAGGAACAGAACCCCCAATCTTTTGGTGTATTGGACGATGTTCCAGCCAATTGAGCCACACTGGCCAGGGTGAGAAAGATTTGATTTTAACTGGTCAGTTACATGTCTTTCTAAGATGCTTAACATTTTCTGCTCATTTTAACACTGGTTAGAAGGATCTTCCAGAAAATAAATTTCCAGAGTGAAGACACAATTCATGACAATGGCAGGAATGTCCTGAAGGGCAAAACACTTGTTCTAAGGCTCCAAAGAAATAAGGGCAATATAAATACAGACTGGCAAAACTGCAAATATTAAACTGCCTTAGAATTCCTGTAATTCCCATTTTGCAGAGGGGAATACCACTACCTCTGCTTCTAAATAGATTTTTGAAGGTCCTTGAGCTGGAAGCACCCACAAAGGATATCATCCGAGGAGAAGTTTCATAAATGGAAATATTAATGAGACTCATGATTTTAGCCCAAAACAAGACATCTGATTATTTGGAAGGGGTATTTTGTAGAGAGCTGAACATGGGAGAAGAGTAAGGGCTGAAAGGTATGGTGACAAAAAAGGAAAGAGGAAAATCTGAAATTATCCAAGGAAGAGCTGACCACGTACAGTATTGGGAGGCAGACTCTCAGGGTATCAAGCCGAGGGAGAAGGAAGTGTTGAAATGGCACTCACGTCAGGGTGACAATCGAAGATGCCAACTGCAGTTGGAGCTCCATGTTTCTGAAGTATTTATTTCGGAATGGGCATTTGGAAGAGCCAAGAACTCTCACAGTTACTAACACAGTTTTACCTATTTCAACCTAGTAGTTTTTTTTAAAAAAAAAAAAGGTCATTTTAGTGGAGGTGTCTCATTCACCAAGGACAGCCTAGCTCTTAGAGGGTGGTAAACTTTCTTTTAAAATATTTTATTTATTTATTTTTAGAGAGGGGAATGAAGGGAGAAAGAGAGGAAGAGAAACATCAAGGTTTGGTTGCCTCTCACACGCCCCCTACTGGAAACCTGGCCCACAACCTAGGCATGTGCCTTGACTGGGAATCAAACCAGCAACCCTTTATCTTGCAGGCAGGGATTCAATCCACTGAGCCACACCAGCCAGCATGAGGGTGGTAAACTTTTTTGTTCATGCTAAATGTTCCTGGTCAGTCTTTGTTCAAACAAGACTAATGTAGATGTATTGTATTTATCTGTACCACGTTTCATGTTGGAATGTTGTTCTTTAAGGACAGGTATTTCCAGTAGCATTACCAAAGGTCCTGGTATCCACACACATTATGTGCACACAGTAGTTAAGCAGAAATTATATTAAGTGATGCTAGACAGTGAAAATGAGACCTGTTTCATTTATGAGATAAAACATGTATCTCTCACCTTATCGATCAGATCAAGCTCCAGCTCCTGTATGTCTGACACCCTGAGGCGGGCCTTTGCTGGACTCAAGAAACCCAAGCACAGATCATAGACCTCCAATGTGAGAAATCCAGAATGTACTGGAACTAGCTAGAAAGAAGACGGTAGGTAGGTAAAGAAGAAAACATGCTCTAAGCATAGTCATGGCAACTATTTTCATCCAAATTGAGAAGTATAATATCTTATGTCCTTCGTGATGGATACTTTGGGAGGTCACATTAAATGTTTCAGGCATAACACAATATAGGCCCTTAATGTGATATTTCAGTTAATGTCAAAATGTGTACCTTTAATAATTAACTGATAAAGAGCAGAATTTAAGATGAATGAATTCAAGCAGAATCCAGCATACATGTCCAGGCCCTTAATTACAAACAGGGAAAGGACTTCATGAAGAAAGTCAAGTCCGGGGGGTGGGGTGGGGTGGATGAAGGTGGAAGAGGGGATGGGGGGTAAATGGTGATGGGAAAAAATAAAACAAGAAAAATCAAGTTCATTTATGTCGCAGTTGTCAGTGAGGGAGAAAGCACTGGGCAGATGGATACTTTGTTTTTCCTTCTTGAGGTACAGCACCTGCACAATGGCACGTTTTCACACCCTCACCTAGTGCCTCAGCCTCCCCTTTTAAAAACAAGCAGTATGACTAACACAAGTTAAATTCCCTTGATCTCTGAGAAGGAAGGGAATTATAAGCATATGTTAATGTGAGGTATTACTTTTAGTACAAGTCAACTAAAAGCAACCCCCTTGACATTGACTATGGGGTCAACTTAAAATCTTGAGTTGTCATATTCTGGCTAAAAACATACACTCCAGTTATATAGTCAATAGTATATCTAACTATCCATTTATAGAAAGGAACCTTCTTTTAATGGAAATCTTGTAACTAGATGTCTCTTATACTGTCTCAGCTCCACCAAAACCAACAACTGCCCAGGATTACAGCTAGTTACAAAAATAAAACAAAACAAAAAACCCCACATTTTTGGTTGAAAAATCTATATAGGTTTAAAAAAAGAAACAAATGTTACTTTTGTAAGTAGTTTGAAACACATGATGGAATTTTCCCAATTGTTCACCTAAGAATGGCTCTGACTCGAGGCCGTCAGTCTGGGAATGTCTCTAGAACTCACCTGCACAGAGCTCTCAGCTTCCATGTAAGTGATGGTGACAGTGTCCTGTTCACTACTGTTGACTAAAAAATAACCAGACCCTTCCACAAGGCTAAATATTTCCTACAGAAAAATCAGATAAACAACATTCCATTCCCTTTGGTTTATAAATAATTCAAAGAAAATAACTTCTACCCACCTAAGAAACCAGAGTACATGATTAAAAGATTAAGGAAAATGGACTAAAAGCAAAATATGATTATTAAAGTATAATACCTAAGTACATTGTATCTCTCCCTCCCTCCCTCCCTCCTTCCCTACCTCCCTCCCTTCCTCTCCCTCTCTCTCTTGCTCTCTCGCTCTCTCCCTCTCCCTCTCCCTCAAAACAATAACCCCTCTGGCTAGTGTGGCTCAGTGGATTGAGTGCTGGCCTGAGAACCAAAGGGTCGCTGGTTCAATTCCCAGTCAGGGAACATGCCTGGGTTGCAGGAGAGGCAACCACACATTGATGTTTCTCTCCCTCTTTTTCTCCTTCCCTTCCCTCTAAAAATAAATAAAAAAATCTTTTTTGAAAAAATAAAGTAAAAATAAACACATATGTTAGATTTCCTATTGTTATAATATTAATTTTAATGACCTAGTACTCTCCTGTCCAATATGATTCCATTGAACTAGACCCATACAGCTTCTACCTTCACATCAGGGTGGTTATAAATTGTAGCATTCTCAGGCAAGACAGTTACATCATCCACCAGGAGCAACTCCACAGCTGCAGATATGGGCAAGTTGAAAAGTTCCTAGAAATGTAATGAGAACCACAAAGGTGAATACAAACTTTTAATTCTTCAACTCAGTGGGAAAAGATTCTACTATTCGTTCAAGTGCCAAAGATAACAGAACCATTGAGGTGCACAGTTGCCAGATTTATATCACTTGTGAACAACTTTTAAAGAAGAGCCTTAAATTTCAGTTAATATATATATATATATATATATATATATATATATATATATATATACCAAAGGGTCGCTGGTTCAATTCCCAGTCAGGGAACATGCCTGGGTTGCAGGAGAGGCAACCACACATTGATGTTTCTCTCCCTCTTTTTCTCCTTCCCTTCCCTCTAAAAATAAATAAAAAAAATCTTTTTTGAAAAAATAAAGTAAAAATAAACACATATGTTAAAATTATATATATATATAATTTTATGATCGAAGGATTCATTGTCATACATGCAAAACATGGTGCTAATTGCATTAGCAAAAGATCATGTAAAAACACTCCACAATTCTGCAACTGTCAGTTTACAGCATGTTCCACATGAGGGAGGCCGAGAAGGGCCAGAATCAGTCGAAGTACAAAGTTGGGGACCTGGCAAGACAGTGATGTTAAGAAGGTTCATAGTTTAAGACTATCTAAAATACTTTAAAAAGTGTAAAGATAAAGTACATAATTTTTTTCATCTAGTTACCAGAAAACTAAGGAAAGCCCTTACCAGATTTGAATAAAGGAAAATGAAAACAGGAATGCAGTTTTATTAATCTACAAAACAACTTCTAATGCATTATCAAGAAAGATTTTAGCCCTGGCTTGTGTGGCTCAGTGGTTGAGTGCTAGCCTGCCAACTGAAAGGTTGCTGGTTTGATTCCCAGTCAGGGCACATGCCTGGGATGCAGGATGGGTCCCCAGTTGGGGGTGTGTGAGAAGTGACAAACTGATGTATCTTTCACACATTGATGTGTCTCTCCCTCCCTTCCCCTCTCTAAAAATAGATAAATAAAATCTTTTTTATAAAGAAGGATTTTATAATAAAGGAGGCATATTGCTCATTGAGAAGGGCTTCTACAAAGAAAAGCACTTACTAAGTTAGCAACTCTGGGTATGACCAGTTCAAAGATGAATTAAATGCCCAATTTTGAGAAGGACTGCAGGTTTAAGAAAAAGGAAAAGCTTAAAAAATCACTGATTAGACTTCTGGTCAAGATGGAGGCATAAGCAGACATGCTTTGTCTCCTTGCACAACCACAAGAAGAATCACAGCTAACGTCAAAACAAAAAACACCCAGAACTGCTAGAAAATCAAACTGGTTGGAAGCCTGACCACCAAAGATTTAAAGAAGCCATATCCATCCAGAAGGACAGGACGGGCAGAGACAAGGAGCCAGGGCAGAGAGGACATGGTATGATGTGGAGAGATGGCAGTGGCATCAGAACAGGCGGTCCCATGTGAATAATGTGAATAATTTACACATGGTGGATAAAAATTGGGAAGGATGTCTTGGGAGTGAGAGATCCCAACCCTGGGCCAAACCACGTGGCCCAGGGTTCCAGCACTGGGAAGAAAAAGCCTCATAACTTCTAACTGTAAAAACAGGGGTGGTTGGGGCAGCGGAAGAAACTGCCAGTTTCTCAGGAGAGTCTGTTTAAAGGGCCCATATGGTCCTAGAATATTCAAAAACCCACCCACTCTGGGAATCATCACCAAGGCAGAAGCTAGAAGGGTGCCAGGCACACAGAGGAAGTGGGTAAAGTGACTGGAAATGGGGCAAGTGCAGGGCAAGACTCCAGAGGCCAGGCAGTGGCACTGTCCCCTCTCTGACACCCACACCCCAAACACACACACAGCACCACAAAACAAAGCAGGTTGCCCCAACCTGGCAAATTCCTAAGGCTCCATGCCTTACAACTTAATTGGTGTGCTAAGACAGGGAGTCAAAGCAGCTCTGCCTAATGCACAGAAACAAACACAGGGAGACTGCCAAGATTGGGACAAAGAAATATGGCCCAAATGAAAGAACAGAAGAAAACCCTAGAAAAACAACTAAGCAAAATGGAGATAGACAGTCTTATCAGATGCAGAGTTCAAAACACTGGTGATGAGGATGCTCAGAGATATCACTGAGTATGGCAAAAACATAAAGGAAGAAATGAAATCTATAGTAAGTGAAACAAAGAAAAATTCACAGGGAACCAACAGCGAGGGGAAGGAAGCCAGGATTCAGATCAATGATTTGGAACATAAGGAAGAAATAAACATTCAACCGGAACAGAACAAAGAAACAAGAATTCAAAAAAATGAGCAGAGTAAAAGAAGACTCTGGGACATCTCCAAAAGTGCCAACATCAGAATCATAGGGATGCCAGAAGGAGGAGAGGAAGAGCAAGAAATTGAAAACTTATTTGAAAAAATAATGAAAACAACAACAACAACAACAAACTTCCCTACTTTGGTGAAGGAAATAGATTTACAAGTCCAGGAATCACAGGGAGTCCAAAACAAGTTGGCCACAAAGAGGACCACACCAAGACACATCATAATTAAAATGCCAAAGGTTAAAGATAAAGAGAGAAGCTTAAAAGCAACAAGAGAAAAGCAGAGTTACCTACAAAGGAGTTCCCATAAGACTATCAGCCGAAGTCTCAAAAGAAACTTTGCAGGCAAGAAGGGGCTGGCAAGAAGTATTCAGTGAGGAAAACCAAGGACCTACAGACAAGATTACTTATCCAGTAAAGCTATCATTTAAAATGGAAGGGCAGATAAAGTGCTTCCCAGACAAGGTAAAAGTAAAGGAGGTCATCATCACTAAGCCATTATTATTATTTTTTTAAGATTTTATTTATGTATTTTTAGAGAGGGAGGAAGGGAGGCAGAAAGAGAGGGAAAGAAACATCAATGTGTGGTTGCCTTTCACACGCCCTCTACTGGGGACCTAGTCCGCAACCCAGGCATGTGCCCTGACTGGGAATCAAACCTGCGACCCTTTGGTTCGCAGCACATGCTCAATCCATTGAGCTACACCAGCCAGGGCCACCAAGCCATTATTATATGAAATGCTAAAGGGACTTATTAAAGAAAAAGAAGATCAAAACTATGAACATTAAAATGATAACAAACTCACAACTATCAACAACTGAATCTAAAAAAATAAAAACAAACTAAGCAAACAACTAGAACAGGAAGAGAACCACAGAAATGGAGATCACATGGAGGGTTATCAGCTGAGAGCAGGAAGGGGGAGGATGGGGAGAAGATACAGGGATTAAGAAGCATAACTGGTAGGTACAAAACAGACAGGGGGAGGTTAAGAATAGTATAGGAAATGGAGAAGCCAGGGAACTTATATGTACAGCCCATGGACATGAACTAACGTGGGGAATGCTGATGGGAGTGGGGCTGCAGGGAAGAAAGGAATAAAGAAGAGAAAAAAATGGGACAACTGCAATAACATAATCAATAAAATATATTTTTAAAAGTTTTCCAAGATGGGACAGGATGTTTTCCTGCAAAATAAAAGGTTATTTCTCACCCCCCCCAAAATTTTTTTACCTGTGACATTTTTATTTATTTAATGTGTAAAATGTAGTGTAATTAATCTCCACTTCATATTTTGTCAAAATCTTGTCTTCATCCTTTGATCACATCAAGTGACCCACACACCCCACCCCATGGCTAGAGTTGAACACTTCATCAGAGGGAAAATGTAAGAGTTCTGTTCAAAATCTCAGGAAAAGCTAATACACTAATTTTTAAAAAAAAATATCACTACAAAATCAAAAAGATCAATCCAAAGAGTTGAGTTGTTACACTCATTATATTTTCCATTATATACAGTACCACGTTAGGTAACAAACATGGGTTGACCAATTAACAATGCATTAAACGGCAAAATTTCATAAAGGAGGCTGTACTGCTTGTATGTGAAACTGGTTATAAAGTGCCTGCCTTCCCTAGTGTCAGAAGCTACAGTCTTCTTAAAGTTCTTTAAACGATGTGGTGCTCAGCATTTTTAGCACAACAATGCAATATAGTTCACAAGGTGTTTTGGCAGTTCTCAATCTGAGCAAGAATAGGGGCTTTTGAAAAATAAGGCTTTAAGAAAGTTTGTTGCCCTGGCTGGTGTGGCTCAGTGGATTGAGTAGCAGCTTGTGAATCAAAGGGTCTCCAGTTCAATTCCTAGTCAGGGTACATGCCTGGGTTGTGGGCCAGGTCCCCAGTAGGGGGCGTGTGACAGACAACCATATGTTGATGTTTTCCTCTTTCTCTTTCCCTTCCCCTCTCTCTAAAAATAAATAAATAAAACCTTTTGTTTTTTAAAAAAAGAGAGCTTGTCATCTTAGAGTTAAATTTTAACAGAATGTGAAAGTTTGAACTTTTACACTTATTTGTTTAAATGAAATCTAAAAAGTACTGATTGCTTCAACATGATTTTATGGAAAAACTAATCTGTAACAAAAACTTGCCATTGAGTGTGAAGGCTCCATTGTTTTTGAGCAAAGCGTACAAAGATTTCCAGGGACAGGGAAGCAGGGGAGAGAGGCCCAGACATTTACAACGGGAATTTTCTCTTCCTCTTCTTGTTGGGAGGTGGTTAGAGAAAGGCTCAAATAACTTCATCAATCATTGTAATGAGGCCTTGCTGTGTGAGAGCCCAGCACTCCAGGTATTTTACAACACTGATCTCCTTAGCCATGGCTAAACCCTGTGGGTGCGTGATGGGTGTTAGCTTCTTCTCAGTCATGCTTCAGTTATGCTCAGTTATGTTCAGTGAAGCTCAGTTAGCTTCAGTTTCTCAGTCATGTTTTTATCATTCCTAAGATCAAGCTTAGCTCCCACCAGGATACATGGAAGTGTTGGGACAATGGTGTCTCACTTCAGGATACCACTTTGCACATTTTCAAATGATGCAGGACTCACAATAGAAAAGCAAGTGGAAAATACATCTGAAGTCCTGGCTGGTGTGACTCAATGGATTGAGCACCAGCTTGCAAACCAAAGGGTCACCAGTTTGATTCCCAGTCAGGGCACATGCCTGGGTTGTGGGTCAGGTCCCCAGTAGGGGGCACACGAGAGGCAACCACACATTGATGTTTCTCTTTCTCTCTTTCTCCGTCCTTTCCCCGGTCTAAAAATAAATAAAATCTTCAAAAAAAAAAAAAAGAAAAGAAAAATATACCTGCAACTCCACCCATGCTGTCTCAAAAGGTAATATTTCCTTTGTTTTTATAGCTGTGTACTATTCCATTGTGTAAATGTACCACAGTTTTTTAATCCACTCATCTACTGATGGGCACTTGGGCTGTTTCCAGATCTTGCCTATTGTAAATAATTCTGTTATGGACATATAAAGGTGCATATAATCTTTTGAACTGGTGTCTCAGAATTCTTGGGATCTAGTCCCAGAAGTGGAATCGCTTGGTCAAAAGGCAGTTGCATATTTAATTTTTTTAGGAAACTCCATACTGTTTTCCACAGTGGCTGCACCAGTCTGCATTCCCACAGCAGTGCAGTAAGGTGCCTTTTCTCCACATTCTCTCACCAGCACTTGTTTGTTGACTTATCGATGGTAGGAGACTATTATGCTAATGAAATAAGCCAGTCAGAAAAAGACAAATACCATATGATCTCACTTATATGGGGAATCTAATGTACAAAGTACACTGACAAACAAAATAGAACAGAGGCATGGAAACATGGAACAGAATGACAGCTGTCAGAGAAGGGGGACAGAGATATGTATGAAAGGAGGTGAAGGGATTAGCCAAAGAACATGTATGCATAACCCACAGATGCAGACAACAGTGTGGTGATGGCCAGAGGGCAGTGGCATAAGGAGTGCTGGGGCACTGTCCACGTGGCCTTGCCCTCCCCCGACAGGAAGCCTAAGCCCAGCAGCAGCCACCACCCAGGGCTGGGGAAAACCCGCAGAGAAACAGGAAATGTTGTATTTCTTACATAACGATCTCCACTTACCTTTGGACTTTCCTTCTCTGAATAGCCCACAAAACTGACTTGAATGAGTACAGTCCCTTTTATCTGATGTACTTTAAGGATCTGATGACCTGGGGACATGCAGACAAATACCCTGTGAGACAATAACATGTAGAATACAAAAGTGTCTCCGGAAAACCAAATTCTACCCTAATTTATTTCAAATAATGTTTTATTGCAGGGAGGAAAAAACACCGCATAGGGAAACACACAAGAATCGGGAACCCTTTGCTTCAAAGAAATCCACCAATGCATTTCTGAGTTGACTCTGCCACTATACTCCTATGTGACCCTGAGCAACCACTTAATTTCTCAATTCCTTTACTAACTGAAGGATTAAGCCAGGCCAAATCTAAGTCTCTCCAGCTCTGATGGTCTGTGAGTCCAAAAATAGGCTGACAACAATGTATGAGGACATTTTTGTTTGATTTAAAAATGGAAGTGAGAAATAAAGAGACAGTCCTTTGGGAACTTTTACTCTTCTAAACTGTTTTGTATATGTAAATGTCATGTCAGTTCCTTACTCAAAAATTTAAAATGGCTAACTATTCCTTATTAGAACAACTCAAACTCCTTACACTAGTTTTAAAGCCTTCTATAATCTGACCCTGCTTTACTTTGCTTTCCTTTTTAGAGAGAGAGAGAGGAAAGAAGAAAGAAAGAGAGGGAGACAAACATCAATGTGTGGTTGCTTTGTGCACCCCCTATTGGGGACCTGGCCTGCAACCTAGGCATGTGCCCTGACTGGGAATCAAACCAGTGACCCTTTAGGTCACAGACCAACACTCAGTCCACTGAGTCCCACCAGCCAGGGTGTTTTCCGTTTTTTTAAAAAAATTTCACTAACATGAATCTGCCACTTTACATAGGTCAGTTACTTTATCCTCAACCCATGACGACTGTGCCTGAATCTTTGAAGCACTTTCTCATGATGCTTCGTCCACTCCATCATTCATTCACTCAACAAAGATTTATTGATGGCCTACTATATACTAGGTAGTATGCCAGGTAATTAGGATGCAGAGATGAAGAAGAAAACAACATACTGGTAACCCTTTGCTTCAAAGAAACCCACAGCTTAGTACAGCAACTGAGAGGGAAACCAACCACTGCAATCCAGTGTGGTCAGTGCTGTTATAGAAGTATGAGCACAGCATTTGTGTGTGTGTGTGTGTGTGTGTGTGTGTGTGTGTGTGTGCATGTGTGTGTAACAGCACAAGGAGGGAGTATTTTCCTTACATTGAGAATATAGAAGGACAGAAAACTCCCAGATCACTAGAGGACTTTAGTCAGTGAAGATGCAAGAAAAGAGAATGTACGACATGTACAAAGGAAAGGGATATGACAAACCTTGTCGTGGTTAAGAATCTAAAGTTGTTGACTAAGAAAAATGCAGGGTATATGTGGGCTGTGATAAGAGGTGAAGCCGAAGAAGTAGGCACAAGTCAGTATGTTAAACTGCAACATAGGGGTTTTGTCTTGAAAGACACAGGATTATCTGGAGACAAAATGATGGCAGAATAGTCAGTGGTCACAAGTATAGGCTTTGATGCGAGAGAGTTTATTGCTTTACCTATTTACTGTAATAATCTCAAGGCCCAAAACTGTGCCTAGGTTATAGTAAGAATGAAATACGTGTCTGGTGAATAAGTAAACTTAAAAAAATCAGGAAAATAATGCCAGTTTCTCATTGTTGTTATGAAGATTATATGAGAAAAAGCATATAAACTTTTTAAGTGCTATATGCAACATTTCAGAAGAGCTCAGTAAACAGCAGCCAAAATAAGAACTTTAAGACAGAGATTCAGATTTGTACTGTAGGAAGATCATTCTGAACAGTAGTGTGGAGATGGTTTAGAGAGTAGCACAGATACAATGAGATCAGTTGGGAGTCTACTGTGGTGATGCAGGACAGAGGCGATAAGGACACCAGCCATGGAGAGGAAGGGATGAAACCAAAAAGTATTAACAAGATAACACTGATGCTATTTGGTAATTGATTGTTATCAGATATAAGGGACATCTTTTTCTTCTCTATCACTTTTTACATTAACCATATCATACTATGCATATTACAGTGTTATAGTATTAGCTACATATTAGTATCATGTTGTCATGTTCTATATCTAAACTCTTAAACTTGTTCTGAATGTAAGATCCTGGGGGTACGGAAAGGCTAAATCTTATTTCTCTTTCTCTGGTGTTTCTTGTTCCATTGAAAGGTTACACCATCCATCCAAATGCTCATGGCAGAAACCTAAAAGTTATCCACAGTACCACTGGCTTCTTCACTTTCGGGAGTGACTTGAAGTAAGTTGTTACATTAATGGCCTGCAGTGAATCACATCTGCTGGTATCCATGCCCTGGAGTGGTTCTCACCCACCTTGACTCTGCTTTTGGCCAGGTGTCTTGCTTTGTGCACTGGACATCAGCAAATGGCTTGATGAGAGTCGGCACGTGAGGTCTTGTTGCCCTTTTAGAACCTCATCTAGTGAGTCTTGTCCCCTCTTTAAGTTAGTCGGTCTCACTTACCTTATTCAGCTCACTGTTTTTCTGTTTTCTCTTTCCAATATCCCTTCAGGTCTCAGCATGTATGTTACTTTTGCAGGGTAGCCTTTTCTGTTCTAAACTAAGTTAGGTTCTCCTGTTATAAGCTCTTCAAGCACCCCATATTTGCCCTTCAGAACACTAACACAAATATAATGATTAAAGTCTGGCTTCACCAATTAGACTTTAAGCCTGTGAAGGCAGAGGCTGTGACTGCTTCATTACAAAGTATGTCTCCAAGTGCCTAGCACACAGTCTTATATGCCATTCAATAAATATTGGCTGACAAATAAATAATATTTCCATAATATTATGCAAATAATGGCAATCGATATACTTAAAAATTAATTTAATTTTATGTTCTTGTGAGAAATATTGGACCCTAGACCTTAGCTTGGCAAACAAGGAAAGCTACCTTTATATTAAAAAAAAAAACAAAGATCAAAGATGAAAGGTGAGATATGATAAAATCTGAAACAAACCATCACCCATAAGGAAATAATTAAGCAGAACCACTTAGCAGGTATGTGAAAACATCCATAAATTTTCACAATACCATGTAATTGCGTCTGTCCACTGCCATCATCCTTTGCTACTATCTCCACTGAATTATAATTTTCAAAATGAGCTAGTGTTTCATTTGAAGATTTCCATTCCAGCATTAGTGAGCTGAAATTATCAAACTTTCTCCTCTGTTGATCAAACACTGCCAGTTCCAGGACTGTGTCCCTTAGGCTTGATACAGGAATCTGCGTTAAGATAAAAAAAAGAAAAGAAAATCAAAACAATATCTTACAAGGCGTGGTAAACTAACCCTGAAGCTAGAGGGATTATGTTTTGTCCCAGTTTCATTCTTTGACAATGTTCAAATCTCCAAATGTGTTGAAAGGATGGATAATGATTACTGATACACACTTCATCTGGAATCACCCTTTGCTTTCTCTATCTCTCCCTCTACTTTCTCACCCTCCTTGTGTGTGTCTGTGTGTGTTTTTTTGTGAAATTACACAGGAATCGTGGCATGCTGCCCTAAATATTTCAATATACCTTTCCTAAGAATGAGAACATTCTCCTAAGTTGCTGACCTACTAACTATGTTATTGCTTATCATTCTTCTTCATGGTGGATTTGGAGTAGAAGTAAATGTTATTACTTATTGATAATGCTAATAAAAGATTTGGTAAGGAAGAAAATTGGCAAAACTATTTGGAAGTTGTTTAGAGAGATTTCAATTGTCTATTGCCAATAATTACAAGCTAAGCACTGTAAGCAGAGTTACTGTGTCACTCAGCGTGGCCAATTCTGGCCTAGTTCAACCACGTCTTCTCAGACACTTCCAGAGAATGAATAACAAAACAGTTTCTTTAACTTTAATATGACAAAAGATTGTTTCAGACCATTTATCTCTACAGCATGGAAGACAAAAGTGCAAGTCAGCTGGAAACACTGCACTTACCAGTTGTTTGCTGTGCTGGGGCAGAGGACACCGCTGGGCTCCAGCTGGCACCTTATACACAGGGGTTACTGACATGCTGGCGGGGTGGGCACATATGAAGCGCACGTGCACAACCTCTACAGCTGGACTAGGGTTCAGGACACCTGGGTGATTTCCAACTTGAAATGTCAGAACCTTTAAGGAAACACCAGAGCAAGAGACAATGGTGGGTAGACGCTTGACATCAGTTGCGTCAATCTAAATGTGTTAGGGTTATTCAAATCCTGGTATAAAGTCCCTTTGGACATTATAATCAGGCAAATTCCTTAAAGACATTATAGTTTTTAATTATTGGTGCTAAGAGAAACAAGAGTATTATGGAAATTTGAAAACAAAAGGAACATTAAGAAAATATAGCTGACCAATTATTTAAATTTTTTCCTCCACCAAATCTTTTGTTAACAGTTGGTAAAGAGTAGAAAAACTAATTTCTGTTTCACCTTGTCTCTGGTAGCAATACTAATGAATAACAGAATGTGGAAACAAAAAGAAGTTAGCTTCAAAATGGGGTAATTAGGCCTGAAATTACTAATAGCTAGCCATATATACAATAAAGTTCACTGGAGATATTAAAAAGAAGCTCAATTGATTATAGCATAGTTCTTAAGTTAAAGTCATACCTGATAGTCCTGTTAGCCTGTGTAGCTGGACTGTGTTCCATAGCCACACAGTGCATTCTCAATACTAGTCAAACTATAAACCTTTGTTACTATTGCTTTAAAGATTTTTATTCATTTATTCTTAGAGAGAGGAAGGGAGGGAGAAAGAGAGGGAGACAAACACTGATGTGAGAGAAACATCAGTATGTCGACTCTCCTAGGTGCCCCGTCGGGGGAGCTGGGGCTGAAGCCACAACCCAGACTGTTCCCTGAGCCAGCGAACTTGCACGTTGCAGCACAATGCCCAGCCCACTGAGCTGCACTGAAAATCCACTGGTTTTGACAGAAGCAGGGCACCCCTGTGGATAGATCCATCGCTACCTCTCAAAATAACCAAAACTAATTCAATGCATAAAGGGCAACATACTTATTACTCTTATCAGCACAGACCTGTTTCTTCAAAATTGCTAACCATAGATGACACTAAGTTTTCCTTCCTCACATTCTTTGGAGGTGGAAAACCATATGTTTTTCAGTCTAGACAACAAGGAAATAAATCATAGTGACAAAATAATAGAAATAAGCTCATTACTACAAAAAGATCTTGAACCTTTTAGTTAGTGAACTATTAGAATTCTCAGGTGAGCAAACCAAAATCTTTGGGTATATTTAAAGGATGGTAAGATATAAAAAAGATCCTTTAATCAACAATTAGAATTATCCCATCTAGTCCATAAACTAAATCCATTAGAATCTGAAAAGGAATGGCTGAAGTACAAAAGGTTGGAATTAGTATTGCTAAAAGAAATGCTAGAAAAAATATCATTTTCTTACTTGTTCCCCTAAATCCAGGCACCGGACCCGGTAGATATACTGGTTCTGTTTTGTCTTTGCTGGAGGCCGGACTTGTGTTATTTCAATTTTCTCTGTCTTCTCCACGCTCAGCTCCGAAAAGAAACGGGAGGGCTCCAAGATCCATGGCCGAGGACCCCCTTCAAACACCACTTCTTTCACAGACTGCCATGTCACCAGTGCCACTTCAACAGGGTTTACAGCCTGATGACGTTTAAAGAAATTAAACCCTGATAGGTTAGGGAATGCAACAGTTTTCTAAAGTGAAAAACTGGTTATCTACTCCACTGAAAATGACATTAGACTTACTTCCCAAACTAAGAAACATATACATCATGCCTTGCACTTTGAATGCTTCTCAACCTCCATACTAATTTTTTTTTATTTAAAAATTTTTTCTTTTGGTTTTCTCCGTACTAATTTTGATCCTACCTATCATTCAAGCCTAACTCATATGTCACTACCCATTAAGTTATGTTTAATTATTCCAGACCACACCCACTTCTGCATCCTTTAAACTCTTACAGTATTTTTGTCTAGGATTCATTCGTATACTTATTCACATTCTAATGCTATTTAGATGTGTCAAATGCTTCATATGTATAACTCTGACAATTCTTGTTATGTTCTTAAGTTATATAAACTTCTTAAGAGAAGAAAGTATCTTATATCCAAATTTTAAAAAAGAATTTCTATTCGTCAGTGGGATTTCGTACAACGTTGTGTGTATAAAAGGTATTGAATAAATAAACACTGAGTAAGCATTTTAAATGGAATTTTTAATATTTTTCTTCTAAATTCTCACCCAAATATATGTTTTTTTAAAAATTGATTTTAGAGAGGAAGGCAGAGAGAGAGAGAGAAACATCCATATGTGCTCTGACCAGGAATTGAACCCACAAGCTTTTGGTGTACAGGACAATGTTTCAACCAACTGAGTCACCTGGCCAGGGCTTAAATGGACATTTTACTAAAGTACCAAAGAAATTCTGCCTTAAAATATAAAAATAATACATCTATACACTACACACACATCCCATTTCTCAAAGATCTCTCACAAAAAAGGTAGTCAAGATAGGTATGACTCATTCCAGTATACAGAGCAGTTATAACCCATTTATAGATGAGGAAACAGGTTTTAGGAGAATGAAGTATTCTCAAAATGTAGGTTATTTTTGTATGGTACAGTGTCTATAAGAGTGACTGAATCACAAAATAAAATACAGAGTTGAAGCAATCACTCTAAAGATGTAAGCAAACCATGCTTTAGTGTTTCTTTCCTGAACTAGTTAGTCATATTTATCATTGAACATGAATGAAATTAAACATTCTTATGTCTAATGGCAGTTTTCTCTTAAATAAGGTACATATAATTCAATTCAACATGTATTCATTGATGGCCCACTGTGATACAGTAACAAAAAGCCAGCTCTCACTGGTGGGCGTTGTCCTGCAAACTGAAAGCTCGTCAGCTGGATTCCAGGTCAGGGCATGTGACTGGGTTGCAGGCCAGGTCCTATGGGGGTGTGCACTGGGGGCATTCGAGAGGCAATCAATGGATGTTTCTCTTCCTCTTTTCTCCCTCCCCCCCAAAAAATAAGTAAATAAAATTTTTATTTTTAAAAAGCCATTATTTTGGACCTTATTGGTCCTGCCTATATGAAAGTGTCTAATCATCTCCTGGCTGGCGTAGCTCAGTGGATTGATCACAGGCTGTGAACCAAAGTGTCGCAGGTTCAATTCCCAGTCAGGGCACATGCCTGGGTTGCAGGCCATGGCCCCCAGCAACTGCACATTGATGTTTCTCTCTCTCTCTTTCTCTCTCCCTTCCCTCTCTAAAAATAAATAAATAAAATCTTAAAAAAAAAAAGAAAGTGTGTAATCACTATATTTCATGCCTGAAATTAATATAATATTGTATGTTAACTATGACTTAAAAGTAAATTTAAAAATATGGCTGCATCTCACAGTGGCGCTCAGTCTTGGAGAGACAGGGTTGAAGCAGGTAGAGAGTACGAGTGGTACGAGGAGCAGAGTGCAGCGCGTGCCACACAGCCTCTGATACAAGCAGAGGCTTCACTGAAGACCTCCCTGAGAAAGTGCAACAAAAATTATTCCTTCCTCCTAATATACAGTCCAAAACTAACCAGATCAACTGAATGATACGGCATGATAGTAAAAGGACAAATTAGGAACTATATCATGCACTGAAACATAATACTGACAACAAAGATAGAACATATTTTTTTTTTCAGCAGGTAAAGGGAATTATATGTAACCAAAGCACTAGATGGAGAAAGAAAATCATTGTCTTACTTCCTTTCCTTTAAGGATAGTTTTTATTCCATGGAAATGTGATTTGTGGATAACAAATATGAAATAAGGCTATGGATAACGATGAAAGCAAGAAAAAACCTAGGCGATTCACTACAAGAACAAATGAAATATGCCCAACTCACATGTTTAATACTTATGCACAATGTGCAATAAAGCCAATTTAAAATGTAAATTTTAATGGTCAAGTTATCCTTTTAAAATTAACTTACCTTGCTTCTTTCATTAGTGTTATTTTTTTCCTTATGGGTGCCTCCTTATGCCAAGAGCATTAAGTTAGGATTTGTCAGTATCTACAGCATGAACTCATAGACATCAATTTTAGTTCCTGAAGGAATCAAATATGTAGAAAGCATACCAGGCTCTATCTACTTTTGTTCTGAACCAGAGGTACAGTGGTACCTAGGTACTTGTTGTTAATTTGTTCTGGAACTACTGACAAGTGCCAAAACCGACAAATACCAAACGATCAAGCATTTTCTCTTGAGGGGTGGTGTCGTGACTCACACAAGTTCTAGCAAGTGCGATGAGTACTAAGCAAGCACTGAGTGCTAAAACACTTTTTCTCGTCAAAATGCGACAAGTGCAGGGTTTGACGAGTGCTGAAGTGACAAGTACTGAGGTGTGACTGTATAGTGCATCCATACTTAGGGACAAAAATAAAACTGTTGCACTAAAAATCCATAAGTACAAAAGGTAAAAGATGACTGACTTCTCTCCGTAGGGTAGATTGTTTTATTTCAGAATTCTTCAAAAGAGAGTATACTAATATTTTATATCTTATTCAGCAATATGTACATATGTAAAAATTTAAATAGTACCTTAAGATTAGTGTATTATATGTATTTTACTATGCACATTTTATACTTCATTAAAAAGAAGAAAGAGAAATATCTAAAACTTGCTGATACAACTTAAAAATATTCCTGTGGCAGAAAACGAGGAGGTACACTCCCTAATACTCAGGTTTGATGAGAGTGCTGCAGATCTACAAACTGGGGAGTGTGCAGGAAGGTGAACACAAATATCACGGATCTTTAACAGAGATCACAGATAGCTAGGAAGCCCCAGAGTGGACATGGGGAGGTCCATGAAAAGATAAGCCAGTTCCTTCCCATAAAATAGCTCACCTTTAGGGGTTCGTAAGCGGCAAATGTAGCACTGCTTTCCAAGTACTCTTCATATTCAGTCACACTCACCGTTAACAGAGTGTGACCCACAGATTTGGCTGCTATGTGTGTACTGGAACAGTGCTTTGGCCCAGGCCTTTGAATACCTGCAACTCAAACAGCATGACTTCAGCAGGAAATCAAGTAAGCAGTAAGTTTCCAAGGAAATTAGTCTACAGAAATAAAAGAATCTTAATACATTTTTTAAAAATCTTGATCTCACACACTAATTACTAGGCTCCAATTGTTTGCACCAAGCTGATATAAAAATCCGTTCCTACCATTAACAAGTATTTATCACATAAGCCACAGTTCTGTGCACAGTGAGGATACAAATTTGAACAAAGATCCTAACCTCAAGTTATACAGCTTATATATATATAGCTTAGAAGAGGAAAGTACACATTTATGAAAATTAAAGTATTAGTAGAAAATTATAAGCATTATAAAAGCCTAAAAAACAGCAAGGTTATTTCTAGCTGGAGAGATCAAGGAAAGTTTAGATATGTAGAAGAGTTCTCAAGCTGACAAATGAATGAACAAAGAAATATAAATGTGACACAAATGAATATATAGGAGAGATATATGGGATATTCAAACTGAAGTGGTTGGTTTAGCTAGAGCCATATATGAAGCCAAAGTATATACTTATGAAAAGCAGGTCACTTTACATGGAAGAGGACCCTGAATACTACATTAAAAGGATTCCAGCCCTATTCCACTGGCAATGAAAACCTCTCAGCCCTGGCTGGCATAGCTCAGTGGATTGAGCACGGGCTGCGAACCAAAGTGTCACAGGTTCGATTCCCAGCCAGGGTACATGCCTGGGTTGCAAGCCATGACCCCCAGCAACCGCACATTGATGTTTCTCTCTCTCTATTTCCCTCACTTCCCTCTCTAAAAAATAAATAAATAAAATCTTAAAAAAAAAAAGAAAACCTCTCATAATTTTTGAACAGGAGAAGTAAGATCAAAGTTAAGTTTCATGAAGATCCATCTGATAGCCATGATTATCACAGTCAAAAATAAAAATAGGAGGACATTGTTATACTCCAGCTGAGAGATAATGAGGGTCTAAAAATTAGGAGAGATAACTTGAGAATAGAGGAGAGGAGAGAGATATGAGTGATACTATATCCTAACTAGCAAGGGCAAGGGAGAAGTCCAAGTTGATGGCAATCATACAGATGTACTGTGAGAATTAAATGAGCTCATATACGAAAGTATTCAGAAAAACGCCTAGGAAACAGCAAATGCTAAGTAAATGCCAGATGCTACTACTGTCATTGTATTGATGAAAAACAATGGTGATCAGGATTAAACATGAAGTTCAATAACAGAAAATGATGTTGATCTTCATGAATAACTTATTCATATCTTTATTAGAGAAATACAATATATTTGCTTTTTGAATAAATTTAATATACACATATATAATGTTCATATATTAAAGGGAACTCCATTACTCTTAGAAGAGGAATGATATATATATTAAAGAAAAAAAAAGAAAAGAACTTGAAGCTAAAAACAGAAGACCTTAATATGAACTAAAAACTGATACTGTCTGGCCACAATGAGCCCAGGACATGTTATTCAATCTCTGCGCCTGTTTCTTTCTACACTACATTATAACACTGACCACAAGGCAGTTGACAGGATAAATAAAATCACTGTAAAGAAAAGGTAATGTATGAATTTAGACTATAATTTGTAGTTTCTGAACTGATGATTTGTCCTTTAATTCAAAGACAAAGAAAAGAGAAAATAAACAGCCTATACTTACCTTCTTTGAGAAGAGTAAAGACTCCTTTCTTGTCCATGTTGAGATCCAAGGATAAATGAGAGCAGTCCGTGAACAGGATGGCCTCTTTGGTCTCCTCATTTATGTGATACATAGCAATGGGGATTTCTATGAGCTGGCCAATCTCCACATCAGCATGAAATGGTAACAGTTCCATTTTGTTCAGTTTCAGGACATATATCTAGAGGGGGAAAATTCATCTTTCAATAAAGTTATATTAGAAAAGTCTTAGAAGAAAGCATCCCATCAATATTTAAATACATACATATATGTTCATGTATATGGTTTGTATAAAAATACTATTCAAGATATACATGTGTGTGTAGTAGGTGCTGAACATGTGACTCATTTCATTCCTTGATCAATTGATCTCTCTAAAGTATCTAACATCATACAGTGGGTTCTGGCAAATTATGGCCAGTGTGCAATTTTCTTAGCTTTTATAAGCTAAAAATGGTTTTTACATTTTTAAAGGGTTGTAAGATGAAACAATAGCAATAAGAATATATAACCCTGGCTGGTGTGGCTCAGTGGATTGAGTGCCTGCAAACCAAAGGGTGGCCAGTTCAATTCCCAGTCAGGGTACATGCCTGGGTTGTGGGCCAGGTCCCCAGCTTCGGGTGTGTGAGAGGCAACTGATTGATATGTCTCTCGTAAATTAATGTTTCTCTCCCTCCCTTCCCTTCTCTCTAAAAATAAATAAATAAAATCTTTAAAAAAGAGATTTTTTATTTATTTGTTTTTAGAGAGGGAAGGGAGGGAGAAAGAGAGGGAAAGAGACACACATCAATGTGTGGTTGCTGGGAGCCGTGGCCTGCAACCCAGGCATGTGCCCTGACTGGGAATCGAACCTGCGACACTTTGGTGGATAGAGACTGTATGTGGCCTACAAAATACTAAGATATTTACCATATGGCCCTTTACAGAAAAAGTTTGCTGACCTCTGATATAGAGATATTCCTCTTTCTTGATATCTTTTAAAAAATGTTTTTTATTTTGATTCTGCTATAGATTTCTTATGTTCCTCCCACAATTCATGTGTTGAAATCCCAATCCCCAAATTGATGATAGTAGGAGGTGAGGCCTTTGGGAGGGAACAAGGCCTTATTAATGGGATGCATGTTCTTATATAAGAGACCCCACAGGGGTCCCTAGTCCCTTCTACCAGGTAAGTTTACAGCAAAAACACAACCTTCTATGAACCAGGAAGCTTTCCTTCATCAGACACTATCTGCTGGTGCCTTGATTCTGAGCTTCCCAGACTGCAAAACTGTGAGAACTTCCTGTTGGCCCTGGCCAGTGTGGCTCAGTTGGTTGGAGCATCATCCTGTAAACCAGGGGTGTCAAACTCATTTTCACCGGGGGCCACATGAGCCTCATGGTTGCCTTCAAAGGGCCAAATGTAATTGTAGGACTATATAAATGGAGCTACTCCTTAACTAGGGGCAAGGAGCTCAGCGATGCCACTGGGTAGAAACAAGGTGCCAGGCTGGATAAAACAAGGTGGAGGGCCGGATTTGGTCCACAGGCCTTGTGTTTGCTACCTGTGCTGTAAACCAAAACGTTGCAGGTTTGATTCTTGGTCAGGGCACCTGCCTATGCTGTGGGTTTGGTCCTTGATTGGGGAGCATATGGGTGGCAGCTGGTCAATGCTTCTCTCTCACACTGATTCTCTCCCTCTGTCTCTCCCTCCCTTCGTCTCTCTCTGGAATCGGTAAATATACCCTCAGGTAAGGATTTAATTTTTTTTAATTTTATTTACTTATTTTTAGAGTGAGGGGAAGGGGAAGACGAGAGAGAGACAGAGAGAGAGAGAGAGAGAGGGAGAGAGAGAGAGAGAGAGACTGATGTGCAAGAGAAACATGGATCAGTTGCTTCTGGAATGTCTCCAGGTGGGGCTCCAGCCTGCAACCCAGGCATGTGCCATGACTGGAAATCAAACCAGTGACCTTTCAGTTTGCAGGCCAGTACTCAATCCACTGAGCCACACCAGCCAGGGCATGGGCGAGGATTTAAAGGAAAAAAGAAAGATTTCTGCTGGTTATAAGCTACCCAGCCTTTGGTATCTTATCATTGCAGTCCAGTCTTTTCTGGTCACTTTCTATGTATCTTCTGCTAGTTCCTCTTATTCTGCCTATGTCTCCTAAAGTAACACATATTCTGACTCTATATGCCTTTCCTGGGAAATCTTATCTAGTTCCAGAACTTCAATAACCAACCATTTGCTCATAACTCCAAATATTTATCTCTAGCCCTAATTTTTCAGTTGTTTTTCAGACCCCTATTTCCTGTTATTATTTTTTTTAAAGTTTATTTATTGATTTTAGAGACATAGACAAAGTGGGGAGGAGACAGACAGAGAGAAACATCAGTTTGTTGTTTTACTTCTTTATGCATTCATTGATTGATTCTTCTATGTGCCCTAAATGGGGATCAAACCCACAACCTTAGCATATTGGGAGGATGCTCTAACCAACGGAGCTACCCTACCATAGCTTACCCTGTTTTGTGGTTGCTCCATTGGTGTATCACACTAATGTATCCAAAACTGAATTCATCACCTTCCTCTTTTTTCCCCCCTTTTCTTGTGTTTCTATCCACTTAGTTGCCAAAGCTGGAAGCCTCTGTGTCTTTAAATCTTTCACTTTTCTCCACCCCACTGGGTGTCAAATTTGACTAAGGCTATCTCTAAAATAACCCTCAATTTCATTAGTTCAGGCTTAACTGGACGCTTTGCCTTCACTTTTTTCCTTCAGTCCATTCTACTCTACTAGTATATAGCACCAGCAACTATCTTTTGTTCCTTTTAAAATATAGTTGTTATTATCTAACTATAAAAATGATTACATATCTTTCCAAACACAGGTTTTACCATACTATTGGCCTTATTAAAAATCTGTGTTGCCCTTGCTGGTGTGGCTCAGTGGATTGAGCACTGGCCTGTGAACCAAAGGGTCACAGGTTCAATTCCCAGCCAGGGCACATGCCTGGGTTACAGGCCAGGTCCCCAGTTTGGGGTGCATGAAATGAAACCACACATTGATGTTTCTTCCCCCCTTTCTCTCTCCCTTTCCCTCTGTCTAAAAATAAATAAATAAAGTAAAAAAAAAATCTGTGTTGATTTCCCACTATCTATAGCAGGGGACAGCAAATGGTTTCTTTTCTTTTTTTAAAAATATTTTATTTATTTATTTTTAGAGAGGGGAAGGGAAGGAGAAAGAGAGGGAGAGAAACATCAATGTATGATTGCCTCTTGTGCACCCCCCTACTGGGAACCTGGCCCACAAAACTCAGGCATGTGCCCTAGACTGGGAATTGAACCGGCAACCTTTGGTTCTCAGGCCGGCACTCAGTCCACTGAGCCACACCAGCCATCACTAGCAAATATTTTTTTTTAAAGATTTTATTTATTTATTTTTAGAGAGGGAAGGGAGGGAGAGAGAGAGAGAGATCAATGTGCGGTTGCTGGGGGTTATGGCCTGCAACCCAGACATGTACCCTGGCTGGGAATCGAACCTGGGACACTTTGGTTCCCAGCCCACGCTCAAACCACTGAGCTACACCAGCCAGGGCTGCAAATATTTTCTGTAAAGGGCTAGATAGCAAGTATTTTAAGCTTTGGAGGCCACAGGGTCTCCATGGCAACTACCCACTCTGTAGCTGTGGCTTGAAAGCAGTTATAGATAATATGTAAATGAATGAAAGTATTTGTGTTCTGGTAAAACTTTATTTACCAAAAGGCAGCCAGTTGAGTTTGACTCTCAAGCATTAGGTTAGATCCATCATTCAAAGTCTTGTTCAAGTCCCCACCTCTTCATGACAGTCTCCAAATGGTCACATCTATAGGGATTTTTCTTTTATAAACCAATAATATTTTTACTTTATAATTCAAGTAACTATCAAGTCTAATTTTTTACAGGTAAAATACCTCATGTATCATTTTCTTAAAATGTCATTTAACTTTTTATGTAAATAAATCTTCCTAGTTAGGCTTTAGATTCTTAAAGTAGGGATATGTGTCTTTGCAGGTCTTATGATACCTAGCATGGTATTAAGTGTCCAAGGGTATGCAATAAATATTTGAATGATGACAAAATGCTAAATACTGCAAGGAACAGCAACATACACTAACATATATTAAAAGTGTGAGAAAAACCAGAAAAACAGTTATATATAATACAGTAAAAAAGACTTTTCAATCTTTTAGAAACAAGACTGACAAACAAAAATATGAAACTAGAGCCCTGGCCAGTGTGGCCCAGTTGGTTGGAGTGTCATCCCATAAACCAAAAGGTTGTGGGTTGGATTCCCAGTCAGGATTGCAGGTGCAGTCCCCAGTTGGGATATGTGCAAGAGGCAATCAATCGATTTTTCTCTCCCTCTCTTCCCTTCTGAGCATGTCTTCAGGAGAGGATAAAAAAGTAAAAAAAAAGGAACTAGAGATAAAGTTACTGTACTTTGTCGTGTGTAATGTGCACCCACATTTTTGTGTGCATTATACACAGAATACCCCCATTATACCCCCATTATTAACCCATGGTATGTAATCATTATACCCATATATAATGCACACCATTATTTTTCCCTTAAATATTTGGGCAAAAAAGTGTGCATTATATGTGTATAATGCACAAAACATGACACTGTGAAAGTTATATATATGATAACATAATACAATAAAAATAAGTAACATTAAGTTATAAATATATCTGAAGCATTAGGGTAAACATCATCTCATTTAAAAAACGTTTTATTTATTTATCTTTAGAGAGAAGAGAAAGGAAGGGGAGAAACATCAATGTGTGGTTGCCTCTCATGTGCCCCCTACTGGGGACCTGGCCCATAACCCAGGCACTTGCCCTGACTGGGAATTGTACGGGTGACCCTTTGGTTCACAGCCTGGCACTCAATCCACTGAGTCACATCAGCCAGGGCTCTTCTCATTTAATTCTGACAGTAATCCTTTGATGTGATACTATCATTATCTCCATTTTAGAGAGGAGAAAACAAACATAGACATTAAATAACTGGCTATTAAATGTAGTAGGATTCAATCTAGGACAAGAATGCTTAAGGAATATGTACTTCCAGATTGAATTTGATCATCACTTTTAAAAAAGCCAATTTGGACTAGAAAGAAATTTAAATGTGTTACTGTATTCTTAATTTAGACAGCAGAAAAAGTAAAAAAAAAAAGAGAGAGAGAAAGAAAAAAGAAATTAGACAGCAGTGTCTCAGGGATGATAAGAAGGTTTTTTGGATAGTTGTTTACCTTAATTTCTCCATATCGAAAGAGATTTTGTAAATCTCGGGCCAATACAGTGCTGTTGCCCCAGACCTGACCTGCAGTCACCACTCCTTTAGTGGTTACCATGGCCACTGTTTCATTAGAAGAGGTCCAGGTGAAGTTGCCACTGCCACCCTCCACCTGTAAAAAAAATGCCAACTTATATTGAATTACTATAGGAGAAAAATGTCATTTAGGTGAAGCTGTAAAATCTAGTAAAATAAAGTTTAAGAAATACTAAAAATATATAATTAATTATTCCTGGACACATAAAGAAACTGTGATGCTATAGTAAAAAAAGAAAGGGAAATGCTGAAAGGAGATTATGTAATGGCAGTGTCACAAAATGTCAAAAAAGGGTATAAGGAAGCTTAACAAAACTTTATAAAACTTACAAGGAAAGGATAAATAGAAGGCAGAAAGTATACTGAGTCTTGTCAGGATGACAATATTCAAGAGCATGATCTGGTTGTCACCAAAAGCTGGGTTATACTATTGATTTGGCCAAAGAGTTCATTTGTTTTTTTCTGTACAATGACTCTAGTAGTGCTTAGTTGTCTTTAACTTCATTTGAAACTATTTCATTAGATTGTATTGTGACAGCTATTACATTAGTGTGCATTAAAAAAACTTACCAAAATTGCTGAATTTTTGTGTAGCCACTTAATATTGAAGATGAAAAAAAATAAGCAACATTTTCAGCATATTATGCTTTATTATTTCAAGAAAGGTAAAAATGCAACTGAAATGCAAAAAAAAAGATTTGTGTAATATATGGAGAAGGTGCTGTGACCGATTGAATGTGTCAAAAGTGGTTTGTGAAGTTCTGTGCTGGAGATTTTTCACTGGATGATGCTCCATGGTTGGGTAGACAAGTTGAAGTTGATAGTGGGAAAATTGAGACATTAATTGATAACAATCAATGTTAGAAAATTTGGGGACTTCCAGCCAAGATGCAGACATAAGTAGATATACTTTGCCTCCTCACACAACCAAAAGAAGGACAACAACAAATTTAAAAACAAAAAACAACCAGAACTGCCAGAAAATAAAACTGTAAGGAGTCCAACAAACAAGGAGTTAAAGAAGAAACATTGATCTAGACCAGTAGAAGGGGTGGAGATGGGCAGCCAGACTGGAGAGGACTCGAAGCAAGCCTGTGGCTGGATGACCAGGGTGGACAACGTAACTGCTGGCAGACCCAATAGTTCCACATTTGTGCGTGGATAAACGAGGAGGAACAACTAGAGAGTGAGACAGATCAATCAACCCAGGGTTCCAGTGAGGGAAAATAAAGCCTCAAAACTTCTGACTGAAAAAATCTGTGGGGGTTGCAGCTGCAGGAGAAACTTCCAGGCTCACAGGAGAGTTCATTGGAGAGATCCACAGGGTCCTCAAATATACACAAACCCACCCACCCGGAATAAGCACCAGAAGGGTGCAATTTGCTTGTGGGTAGCTGAGAAAGTGACTGAAAGCTGGCCTTGTTCCCTCTCAGACCCCTCCCCCACATACAGTGCTACAACACAGTGATGAGGATTGCCCCACCCTGGTGAATTTCTAAGGCTCTACCCCTTACTATGTAACAGGCACCCTCAGCCAAAAAAAATACGGCCCGAATGAAAGAACAGATCAAAGTACCAGAAAAAATACAACTAAGCGATGGGGAGATAGCCAACCTATCAGATGCAGAGTTCAAAACACTGGTAATCAGGATGCTCACAGAAAGGGTTGAGTATGGTCACAAAATAGAGAAAAAGTGAAGGTCATGCAAACTGAAATAAAGGGAACCAACAGTATAGGGAAAGAAACTGGGACTCAAATCAAAGATTTGGAGCAGAAGGAAGAAATAAACATTTAGCCAGAACAGAATGAACAAACAAGAATTCAAAAAAATGAGGAGAGGCTTACGAACCTCTGGGACAACTTTAAACATTCCAACATCTGAATCATAGGGGTACCAGAAGGAGTAAAGGAGGAGAAATAAATGGAAAACTTATTTGAGAGAATAATGAAGAAGAACTTCCCCAATCTGGCAAAGGAAATAGACAGACAAGTCCAGGAAGCTCAGAGAGTTCCAAAGAAGTTGGACCCAAGAAGGAACACACCAAGACACATCATAATTACATTACTCAAGATTAAAGATAAGGGGAGTATCTTAAAAGCTGCAAGAGAGAAGGAGACAGTTACCTACAAAGGAGTTCCCATCAGACTGTCAGCTGATTTCTAAAAAGAAACTTTACAGGCAAGAAGGGGCAGGAAAGAAGTATTCAAAGTCATGAAAGGCAAGGACCTACATCCAAGATTACTCTATCAAGCAAAGCTTTCATTTAGAATGGAAGGGCAGCTAAAGTGCTTCACAGATAAGGTCAAGTTAAAGGAGTTCATCATCACCAAGCTCTTATTATATGAAATGTTAAAGGATTATCTAAGAAAAAGAAGATGATCAAAAATATGAATAGTAAAATGAAAACTTAAACTATCAACAACTGAACCTAAAAAAAAAAGAGAGAAATGAGCTAAGCAAACAACTAGAACAAGAACAGATTCAGAGAACTAGAGATCACATGGAAGATTATCAGTGCAGAGGGGGAGGGGAGAGAATTGGGAAAAAAGTACAGGGAATAAGAAGCATAAATGGTAGGTACAAAATAGACAAGGGGAGGTTAAGAATAGTATGGGAAATGGAGAAGCCAAAGAACTTATATGAATGACCCATGGACATGAACTAAGGTGGGGGAATGATGGTGTGAGAGAAGGTATAGGGCAGAATGAAATAAAGGAGAGAAAAAAAATGGGAGAACTGTAATAACATAATCAATAAAATACATTAAAAATAAAGAAGGAAATTTAACACATGACACAACATGGGTGAATTTTAAAGACATTCTATTAAGTTTTAAAAAAACAATAACAAAAGGGAAAAAATAAATAAGAAAAAGCCCCATGTGGGAGATAGCCAACATACTCAAAACATCTAAATCAATAAAGTTATTGATAAAATGAAAAATGTGTCTTTTACTCAAAAAACTAAATGACCTTTTTGGCCAACCCAATATTAGGACTAGGGGGAAATGAAATTTTAAATTAGCCAAATATCAATAAATTAAGTGATCAGAGAAACTGACTTATCTCCTTGTGAATCCTCATATTATAGGATAACATACCTGTACTTTATAACGATATAATATTCCCATAGGATGATGAGGAAATGCCAGAAAGTTGGGTGTAAGCTTGATAGGTAAATAAATCTTCACTTCTTGCTGATGTACAATTGAAAATTTTATAGGCTGAATATCTTTATTCTAGAAGACCAGAAAAAAAGGGAGCAAAATAAATTTTATGAGAACTGTTCTTATGATACACATTCATAGAGCATCGGCAAAATGGTGTGCTAATGAGTTACTCAACCAGTTTCTATCTAGAAAATAAATAAAGAAATAAATGTTCCTACTCATTAAAGAAGCACAACTACTATGGGTCATTAATAATGAAAGGAATTTTGCTAGACCCAGAGTAAGTATCACAATCAGGGAAGGTAGTTAAAATTTCCTGAAATAAAAGAGTTTTATCAAGAGAGGGAAGGAAATTATAGTTTCAGAAAGAAAGATTCTTGGACATCCATCAGTTAACTGTATAAATGGTAAAAGCAAAGGGATATTACAAGTTACTCAGAAGAAAAGAAAGAGAACATTTAAAGATGCTGGGGTAAGACATTCCCGTCATCTTTAAAAACAAGAGCACGGTTTGGGGAGTAGGGGAATCTATACAGGTAAAATGGAGTCCTCAGACTCAACTACACTGGTATTTTCTCGTTGAAAGCAAAAATGCTATCATCTATCTATCTATCTACCTACCTACCTACCTACCTACCTGTGTGTATTTCAAAGAAGCCATGAAATATTTACCAACAGTCTCACATATGTAATAATGGCTCTGATTTTCTCTGCACTCTCTCAAGGTGATTGGGTCATAAACTGACAATACCGTAAGTCTTTCAGCTTAAAAGAAAATACTATTTTAGCCCATTGAGACTAGTTTTGGACTTTTGACTTTCAAAACTAAGATAATAAATTGGTGTTGTCTTAAGATGAAAGACAGAGAGAATCATTCTGATGGTATTTAGGTGACCACTGAGAGAAACAAGAAGTAATCTATTTGGAATAGGAAGTGTATGCTGGGCCCGGATAGAACTCTTACCATTCAAGGAAAAGGTAATAGTACAAAACGGGTTGGTCCTGGGAAGACATTTTATAACATATAGAAAAAAAAGAGAATGTAGTACTTAAAAAGAGAGGATAAAATGCACTTGGAAAATTGTTACTGCAGGTGACATAAATTTTAAACAATGTCTGCTTTGGTATGTTAGCAAATATGAATGTGGGACTTCCGGCAAGATGGAGGCATAGGTGGGCGCACCATACCTCCACGGACAACCAAGATTAGAACAACAACAATATAGAGCCAGAATAACACCCAGAACTGATAGAGAATTTATCTGAATGGAAGTCGGACAGCCAAGAAGTTGAAGTAGACCCGTTCATCTAGACCGGTAGGAGGGGCTGAGAGGAGGAGCGGTCGCGGCGCGTAGAGATCGGGGAGGACTGGGCGCATAAGGCAACCGGGAGCCTGTAAGCCTTCCAGGACGCAGCGGTGGGCCCTGAGTACGCAAGCAGCGGCTGGCGGACCCAGTTAGGTGGCATTGTGGACCAGGGCAGAGCGAGCAGCTCAGGATCCCAGGGAAGGGACTGAGATCCCAGGAGAACTGAGCTACCGCCATTGTTCCCTCCCACCCCCGCCCCCACATACAACATCACAATCTAGCGACTGGGGTGCCCAGCCCAGGGGAACACCTAAGGCTCTGCCCCTCGCCGTAACAAGATCAACCAGATTGTGGGGGGGAGGAGAGAGAGAGACATGTCTCCAACAGAAGAAAAGATCAGTTCCCCAGGACTCATCCTTTTGAGCGACCAAGAAATAGCCAGTCTATCAGATGCACAGTTCAAAACACTGGTGATCAGGAAGCTCACAGAATTGGTTGATTTTGGGTGCAAATTACATGAAAAAATGCAGGTAACCATAAAAGAGAGGAAGGAAGATACACGGAGAACCAATAGTGAAGGGAAGGAAACTGGGACTCAAAACAACAGAGTGGACCAGAAGGAAGAAAAAAAACAATCAAGCAGGAAAGAATGAAGAAATAAGAATTCAAAAAAATGAGGAGAAGCTTAGGAACCTCCAGGACATCTTTAAACATTCCAACATCTGAATTATAGGGGTACCAGAAGGGGAAGAGGAAAAGCAACAGACTGAATATGTATTTGAACAAATAATAAAGGAGAACTTCCCCACTCTGACAAAGGAAATAGACTTCCAGGAAGTCCAGGAAGCTCAGAGAGCCCCAAAGAAGTGGGACCCAAGAAGAAACACACCAAGGCACATCAAAATTACATTAGCCAAGGTAAAAATGAAGGAGAGAATCCTAGAAGCAGCAAGAGATAAGGGGACAGTCACCTACAAAGGAGTTCCCATCAGACTGTCAGCTGATTTCTCAAAAGAGACCTTACAGGCAAGAAGGGGCTGGAAAGAAGTATTCCAAGTCGTGAAAGACAAGGACCTACATCCCAGATTGCTCTATCCAGCAAAGCTTTCATTTAGAATGGAAGGGAAGATAAAGTGCTTCTCAGATAAGGTCAAGTTAAAGGACTTCATCATCACCAAGCCCTTATTTTATGAAATGCTAAAGGGACTTATCTAAGAAAAGAAGATAAAGAAAAAACAAGTATAGTAAAAGGACAGCAAACTCACAATGATTAACAACCACACCTAAGGCAAAACCAAAAGAAACTAAGCAAACAACTAGAACAGGAACAGAACCACAGAAATGGAGATCACATGGAGGGTTAGCAACAAGGGAGTGGAAGGAGGAGAGAAGGGGAAAAGGTACAGAGAATAAGTAGCATAGAATGTAGGTTGAAAATAGATAGGGGGAGGGTAAGAATAGTATGGGAAATGTAGAAGCTAAAGAACTTATAAGTATGACACATGGACATGACTAAAGGGAAGGATATGGGTGGTAGAGGGTGTACAGGGTGGAGGGGAGTGAAGGGGGGAAAATGGGACAACTATAATAGCATAAACAATAAAATATATTAAAAAGAGAAAAGGGCCCTGGCTGGCATAGCTCAGTGGATTGAGTGTGGGCTGCAAAACCAGGCATCGCAGGTTCGATTCCCAGTCAGGGCACATGCCTAGGTTGCAGGCCATGGCCCCCAGCAACCACACACTGATGTTTCTCTCTCTCTCTCTTTCTCTCTCCCTTCCCTCTCTAAAAATAAATAAATAAAATCTTAAAAAAAGAGAAACTATGAATGTGAAGTAAGAGATAAAGCAGAACTATGACAACAAACTGGGAAAAAGAGGCATATGGCTGAGTGTGGAATGAAATTTAAAGTGAGCTAGACGAAATAAAAAATGTAATGCAATTCTAAAGTGCCAAAAAGGTCTTACTTTTTTATTTTTAATGCATTTATTTATTTTAGAGAGACAAGAAAAGAGAGAAAGAGAGAGAAACATTGATCAGTTGCCTCCTGTATGCGTCCTGACCAGGAATGGAACCTGTGACTCAGGCATGTGCCCTGACAGGAAATTAAACCTTCCACCTTTGGTATACAGGGAGATGTTCTAACTAACTGAGCCACCCAGCCAGAGTAAAATGCACAAGAGTTTTAAAATGCAATAAAAACAGTAAGGAACAGCCCTGGTTGGTGTGGCTCAGTGGATTGAGCACCAGTATGTGAACCAAAGGGTTGCAGGTTTGATTCCCAGTCAGGGCACATGCCTGGGTTACAAGCCAGGTCCCCAGTTGGGGGCATGAAAGAGGCAACCAATCACTGTTCTATCACACATCATGTTTCTCTCCCTCTTTTTCTCCCTTCTTTCCCCTCTCTCTAAAAATAAACAAATAAAATCTTAAAAAATAAAATAAAATAAAAACAGTAAGGAACAGAATCAACAGTAAAGAACAGAATCAACCCTATAGAAAACCAAATGCTTACTATGGAAGATAATTAAGACAGCACTCTCAGAATTACAAAAAAGTATACAGGTTAAAAGAGACAAGAAGAAACAGAGATCCCACATCTAGACAATTGATTGTTAATAGATTTATTTAGATACCACTGATTTCTAACTATTGCTTTTCATAAGTTTTTATATGTGGTACATTTTTAAAAAGATTTTATTTATTTATTTTTAGAGAGAGGGAGGGAGAAAGAGAATGAGAGAAACATTCATCTATTGCCTCTCACGCCCCCAGCAGGGGACCTGGCCTGCAACCCAGGCATGTGCCCTGACCAGGAATCAAACCCACAATCTTTCAGTTTGTGGGATGACACCCAACCCGATGAACCACACCAGTTGGGGTGATATGTGGCATTTTCATGGCACCCCAATATGATTTCCATTTTAATGTATGAGTTATTTAGAAGTCCATTATTAAAGTTTCTAAATATGTAGTTTTTAAAAATAACCCCTTTGGTGCCTGGCTGGCATAGCTCAGTGGATTGAGTGCAGGCTGCTAACCAAAGCATCGCAGGTTCGATTCCCAGTCAGGGCACATGCCTGGGTTGCAGGCCATGGCCCCCAGCAACTGCACACTGATGTTTCTCTCTCTCTCTCTTTCTCCCTCCCTTCCCTCTCTAAAAATAAATACATAAAATCTTAAAAAATATATAACCCCTTTGTTGCTGATTTTAATGCATTATTACTACAGAACAGGGTAATACTGATATAAGTGCCTCTCTTAGGGTAATCATAAAAGCTTTAGATCCTTTATGTGGATCTTGAGTTGGGAATTTAAAGCCCTGATCTGCTTATTTCCTTTCCTCATGTTACCCAGCAGACTTAGAAACAAAAATCAAATCCATGATACCCATATATCCATGATTTTCACTAACATGTTTTATGGCAGCAACTACCTTGGTGATGAGTTCATCATAACCAAGACCTTATTATATGAAAGGTTAAAGGGGCTTACCTAAGAAAAAGATGATCAAAACTATGAACAGTAAAATGACAACAAACTCACAACTATCAACAACTAAACCTAAAACAAAAACAAACTAAAGAAACAACTAGAACAGGAACAGAATCACAGAAATGGAGATCACATGGAGGGTATCAGTGGGGAGAGGGAGGGGGTGGAATGAGGGAAAAGGTACAGGGTATAAGATGTATAAATTGGTAGGTCCAAAATAGACAGGGGGAAGTTAAGAATAGTATGGGAAATGGAGAAGCCAAAGAA